AAATGACCTACCTACTACTCGCGTCTCCTGTCATCTTTTTCTTGGAACTGATCCAACACGTGCACGGGTCTCACCAAAAATGAAAGTAGAGACCAGAAAATGTCATACAAACAGGATGTCTTCCTCTGGTCACCCGAGTATTTGATGTATGACACGTGTATACAGACGTAACATTTTGACACGAAAATATAGATAAAATTATGATGATTATTTTTGAAATAATACTTTCACATTTGAACACAGCCATAGTTCGTAAATCTTTTACGACGTCTCTAATTGCTATAAATAGAACATATCGATCGAAGTTTCCTTCGATTGTATCTGAAAGCGGCTGTGCGCGAGACGTAACAAAATTGACACGAAATGTTACATCCCCAAGCATAAAATTTAACCATTGTTTAATTTTAAAAATATTCAATATTTTTTTGACAAACCCAGTAAATTTAATAAATAAATTTGTATATAATAAACGAATCAAGAAAATTAGGTGGAATGATTTTATTTACTGCTGCTATTCCTTCATTTCTTCGGACCATATGAAAAAATGTCACAGAGATTGTCCACTGAATTGCATCAAAAACAATCATTACAAGTTTGATTATTCGCTTGACAATCATTAAAACATCATTAGTTATTAAATATGAGCATCAGAAAATTATTAAATAAGTTTATTCATCAAAGTTGTGAAAGAAAAAGAAATAAATGGCATTTTAAATAGACGTAACGAAAATTCCTTGACAGCGAATTTAGGATCATATATATTTCTGGTTCTAATTGGCTTAGAATCATCAGACTTTCTTTGTCAGATGATGCATCTTGGGTCCATGGAGAATGTCAACTAAAAGTAGGTCACTGTGACCTACATTTGAAATTTTATGGCAATATTTAAATACAGTTGAACTTCGGTATCTCGAACACTGATATCTCTAATACCCTGGATATATCGAAGCGATTTGGAAGTCTGACCTCTTATTCTTTAAGTATTTTCCCCTGGATATCTCAAATCCTTGGATATCTCAAGTTTTTTTTTCAGTCCCATTGAGTTTTGAGATAACAAGATTTGATTATATCTCAGATACTTATTGGTTTGAATAATCAAACTTTGTCAATTGATACATCATAGGTTTTCAGAAAACCTTGACCAAAAAGGTCACTGTGACCTACTTTTGAAATTTAAGTCTGTATTTAAATATCTCAGGTACTTATTGGATTATAATCTTCAAACTTTGTCAATTGATGCATCTTGGGTCCTTGAAGAATGTCAACCAGAAAGTAGGTCACCGTGACCTACTTTTGAAATTTTATGACTTTATCTATAATCTCAGGTCCTTATTCGATAAGAATCATCAAATTTGTCAGTTGATGCATCTTGGGTCCTTGGAGAACATCAACCAAAAAGTAGGTCACCATGACCTACTTCTGACATTTTATGACAATATTTAAATATTTCAGGTACTTATTGGCTAGGAATCATCAGACTTTGTCAGTTGATGCATTTTGGATCCTCAGAATGTGTCAACTAAAATGTAGGTTACAGGTACCTACATTTTTTTTGGAATTTCAAGGTTATATCTAAATATTTCAAATAATAAGAGTCTTAAAATCATCAAACTTTGTCAGTTGATGCATTTTGGGGTCTCAGAGTATGTTTTTATAAAAATTAGGTCACTGTGACCTTCTTTTAGAATCCCATAATCTCGTGGCTATATCTGAATAAGATACATGTACTGTAGATTCCTTATTTTACGCGAGTACTTAATATCGCGAAATGGCCGAATGACGTCAAATCGCGAGAAAAATAATTCGCGAATGAGTGATTTATCTAGAGACTTTACATACATTAAAGCACCATTAAAATAAAAGCGAGTAGTTTTATTTCGCGAGCGGTGCTCCTCGCGTAATTACGTGATAATTTATTCCTCACGTATATTTAGGAATCTACAGTAATAAGGGGCTTCAAATCATCACACTTTGTCAGTTGATTCATCCTGGGTTCTCAGAGTGTTTTAACCAAAATGTAGGTCATGATGACCTAATTCTGGAATTTCAAGCTTTATTTAAATATACAGGATATTAAGAGGCTTCCAGTAGAAGTGATAGGTTGTACAATTTATCAGAAGAGCGATTCAAGGCCCTTGTGAATTAGTAGGAAACACATTACATAGTGTAAATGTAGGTACCAAAATGTAACATTTAAAATTCCATAATTTTTATTACATAACGTGTTTTATTAAAAAATGTGTAGATATCCGCCAAACATATTTTGTATTATATTATATAATTAATAAACAAAAACTTTCAATGAAAAGCTATGTTTTTTAATGACATTACAATTGTGGACATAGCAATTCTTTTCCCCAGCAACGCTAGTGCCCCATGTAATTTTTGTCCCCCATACCAGTATTTAGTCGCCTCTGGCAAGCGGGGCGACCGTTAAGTTTAATACCTGATCCTCAGGCAAGACATATTCAATTTTTTAGCTCTCCGGTTGTCTGTCGTCCGTACCTCCGTCTGTCCGTCCATCCATCTGTAAACATTTCACATTTTCAACTCCTCAAGAATCACTGGGCCAATTTTAACCAACATTGGTATAAAGCATCCTTAGGTGAAGAGGAGTTTAAAATGTCAAAATAATGGGCCAAGCCCCATTACAAGAGGAGATAATCAAGAAAAGACAAAAATTAGGGTGGGGTCATTGAAAAATCTTCTCCTCAAGATTCACTTGGCCAGAAAAGCTGAAACTTATGTGGAAGCTTCCCAAGGTGTGTAGATTCTAAATTGTTCAAATCATAGCCCCCCAGGGATAGGGCCCTCACAACCTCTCTTTGAGAAACTTGATTGGTTCACAGTGTATGAGCAACTTACTGTAAATAAATGTGTTTTGTTATATAAATCACTGTTTAACTCTAACCCTACTTATTTAAATAGTATGTTTGATTTCCAGTGTAATAATCGATACAATCTTCGATCTGAATCCAACTTAGACCTGTGTGTACCAGCTCATAAATGTAAACTCTTTGAAAATTCCATCCAATACTCTGGTGCTATGTTGTGGAATGATTTACCTGTATACATAAAAATGTCTCCAACACTCAATGTTTTCAAGCACCAAGTTAAAAAATATGTAAAACAATGTCGCTATAATTCATGATTATTTATTGATTGTGTGTATCTGTATATGTATGTATATTGATTTTTGTCTACAGAAGGCCCCGGGGAAGAATAGTGCTTGCACTAATCGGGTTACCTTCTTTAAATAAAGTATTATTATTATTATTATTATTATTATAGGGTAGGGCCACAATAGGGAATCTAATCTTCCTCGCAAGAATCACTGGGTAGGGCCACAATGTTGAATCAAAGTCTTACATTGAAATATGTAATGGAAAAATCTTTTAGAATTATCTTCTTCTCCAGAGCCACTGGGCCAGAATAGCTGACACTTATGTGGAAGTATCCTGGGGTAGTGTAGATTTTAAATTGTTCAAATCAGGGCCCCTGGGGTTGCATGGAGCCACAATGGGGAATCAAAGTTTTATATTGAAATATAATAGAAAAATCTTTAAAAATCTTCTTAAGAACGACTGGATCAGAAAAGCTGAAACTTATTTTGAAGCATCCTGGGGTAGTGTATATGTAGATTCTAAATTATTCAAATCATGACCCCCAGGGGTAGGGAGGGCCCACAATAAGTATTACAAGGGGAAATCTGGTGAAGAACAGCAGGGCCAAAGTCTCAGGTGAGCGTTGTGGCCAATGGGCCTTTTGTTTCAAATCGTGCTTCTATTTGGAGAGTGGGGTCACAATTTGGGATAAAAATTTCATACAAAAGTAAATAGAAAAAAATTTTAAATTAAAAAAAAAGTTTCCAGTACAGAAGAGCCCCAGTTAGTCTTATTAATATGGAAGAATCTGGCCTGCTACATTTTTGGGATGAGTACATTGTAAACAGGTTAGAATTTTGGAGCAAGATTATTTGCAAGTAATTGAAAGGTCTACTTGGAGCAAAGTTGAATGGATGATTCATTTAGGGATGCACACTTCTAAGTTAATTTGTCTTAGATGCTGAACCTTAACTAAATTTTCTGGATGAATGAGCAGGTTAAAGTATTTGGAGGAGGTTCATCCCCAAGTAGCTGCAGAACTGTAGCTCTCTGGTTGAGAATATTCGGACAGACAAACCAGAGGACTACATTTTAAAAAAACTTCGATTTACAGTGATGCTTTTTTGTCGCACGCTTTGGGTATTTTTTGTTGCATTATATATGCATTTCCCTGCTTAAAGGATGATATTATTTAATCAACAATTTTTACTTGTACTTCTTATGCTTTATTTACCTTTCCACGATTACAAACAGGCCCTATATGGACTACAAATGTCAGCTTTTAAAATTCGCATTCCGATGTCATATGGTTGGGTCTTGTTAAAATAAAGTGCCCTAAAGGTAAATAAAATATCAGGAATAAGAGTAAAATATATGGTAAATTAACAGATATCATTCTAAAGATGGGAGTTACATATATTATAAGAAATAATACCCAAAGCAAGCCACAAAAAACGTCGCTGTAAATCGAAGGTTTTTACAATTCTTAGATCTGTAGCTCTCTGGTTTGTCTGTTTAAATTTTCTCGACCAGAGAACTACGGTTCTGCAGCTAATTCCCCAAGTAACTTTAAGCCCTACCTGGACAAAACTGGCATGACAGATGCATCTTGGGATGCACATTAACAGAACTGCATCGGATGCTGGATCTTACCCACATTTTAGCTCACTTCATCAAAAATCAAACCTCTGCAATAGCTGCAACATTAATTCCCATGCAAAGAGCCAAAGAAAAAAAATTATTGTTTAAATAATGAAAATATATATGACAAGATATGATACGATCAGTAGAAAATTTATTGTCAGTCCTTCGTTTTGATAAAAGAGATATATTGTTACTATATAATGTGTTTTAAAATGAATTCTTTTACTAAATAACAAAATTCCTCTTTTACAGTGGCTGATGATGACTCTCCATTGAAGACATTTATCAGGATAAACACTGCAGATTTGAAACCAGACCCGAGCAGTGCAGTTGACATCTCCAATAAGAATGAAAAAGAAGACAATTTGGAACTAAGAAGATCTGAAAAAGAAAATGAAGTAATTTATAGCAGAGAAGAAAAGAAAGAAGAGAATATGGAAATGTCTGGTTCACCAACTGAGGGCACAGAAGAAGAGAATACAGTAGAGACAATGGCCAGTGTTCTCTCCTCAGAAGCACAAGCTATGGTGAAGGAGGAAATTTTTCAGAAAATCTTATCTGAAAAAGAGAAGTTACCAACAGTAAGCATGCTGGATTTTGCTGGACAGTTAGCATATTATGCTTGCCATCAAATTTACGTAACACCAAAGGCCTTCTTCATCCTTGTGTTGGACATGACTAAGAGGTTTGAAGATGTTGTCAGTAAAGAGAAAGATAATCAAGAAGGATCAATCTTCTCTGTGTGGACTTACAAAGGTAAGACATGATGTTGTGATTTTATGTCTATAAAGCTAACATCTGATTAATGAAGATTGGAAGAATTAAAAAAAACTGGACAGGTGCAGGAAAAATTGTTTCGGTCACCGAGTCGTTCAGTTGACCTATTGCTGTCAGTTCCCTATTTATCATTGTGGTATTGGTGAATAAGAGCAGACAATTTGCATATTTCCAGATTTTAGCTCACCTGCGCTGAAAGCTTAAGTAAGCTTTTCTGATCACCCATTGATCATCCGTCTGTCCTTTTATCCACCCCTCTGTAGAATTTTCACATCTTGTCATATTTAACCAATTTTAACCAAAGTTGATATCAAACATCCCTCGATAAAGGGGATTCTACATTATAAAAATGAAGAACCATGCTTCCTGACCTTCTAAGGGGATTTAAAGAAAAGGCAAGAATATAAGGGTTGGGTCATTAAAAAATCTTCTTGAATATTACTTGACAATTTTTTCTGAAAATTATTTATGATTAGTATATCGCTTTTAAACAGTAAAAAGCTGAGCCAAATTACAAGACTTGCAGGCAAAAATGTAAACAACCTCACTAGTAAATCATCCTGATCCCAATCAATGAAACATTAGTTATAAACAGTTTTTTTTTTGAAGATTTTTTAAATAAGGGCTACAAAAATAATCACCTGATATCAGTGTAATAGAATTATTGATTACCCCTTGTGAATTCAACATGATAGAATAAGGACCTTCGATCCGACCCACTTGCCGACCTGAGCTGAATGTTACATGGCCTCGGTCAGGTCAGGTCACCTAGTGGGCCAGGTCTCAGGTCCTCATTTCACCATATTGACCTCATAAGGGGTAAGGAATTATATAATTTGATACATTTAAGGGATAATTAGAACATAAATTGTGGTCTTTACAATCATTGAAGTCCTTGGGGTTCTAGGGAGTGGCAAGAACTGCTAAGATAGCAAAATATTCAAAAATCTTTGTTCAGGCCAAACAAAAAAATATGTGTGGTTCTGGTTACACTTCCAAAAAAATTAGGGTAGGTAGGTAGGGTTTTTTAAAATATTTTTTTAAAAATTATTTTCTTAATTTTTCTAAATAATACCTGTCACTGCTTTGCAAATGGCATTTAGATGTGATGTGATACAGTCCCTGAAACGTTCTACTTTCCCATTTTTCCGTTCGCTCACCGTTCGTTCAGCGTGCATTCACCGTTCGATCACCGTGCGTTCACCGTTCGCTCTCCGTTCACAGTTTTGTGTTCAGCGTGCGCTCGCGTTCACCGTTCACAAAGCGTTCAGCGTTCGCTCTTCGTTCCGTTCACTTTGCGTTCACCTTGCGTTCAGCGTTCACCTATTGTTCAGTTTTCATTGTCATTCGGAACTCTGAAGTGAAAGGACTTATCTTTTTGTAGGGAAGGAGTTACAGGTTGTTTAATTTAATAATTAACATATCGTGTTTGAAGAATCATTGTTTCATGTTAAAAAGTATCTACGATATATATTTTTATTATTCTAATTTAGCTGTTAGGTTATTTATTAAATTACTCTGGAAAATAAATGTTGTTATAAGCACATTTTGTACCTATGTAGAACGATGCTGAAATATTAAATTTAACTAAGGGCAATGTGCAAATACATGTACCTCAAGCACTGCAACATTTTGTTGTTTTGTTAAAGACGACAAATCGTTAATGGTGATATAATTATCCAAGTCAAATAATTACGCAGCAAAATTACGAAAATATTTATTTCTAACACGTTTTTTTTCAATTACTACAGAAAATATGATAGAACTAGTTTTGAGAGTTATACATAGCACTGCTGATATCCTGTTAATTTATTATCTTTGGAGCGAATTAAATTGTTAGTGTGGTTAAAGGAAATATTTATTTGAAATGTACTGCAGTACAGCATTTTCTCTACTATAATATGTAAAGTCTATAGTTATAAAAAAAAAAAAAAATTTTCTTCACCGTAACTTTATATGTTTGCCATTAATACCCCCCTCCTTTTCCCCCCTAGATTGGTTACTTAGTCAGTACTGTATTTCCAGAATAATTAACTTCTTTTTTTTTTTAAAAAGTTAAGGTCTTTTTTTAGAACAAAAATTTCAGTCTCAAAACAAACATGCATCTAAAAAAGTCACAAAACAATAGTAGTTCAAAATGTACACGTGTCAGCGGTGGTATTTGTAACTGGCAGAGAGTATGTTTCAAATGCAAGTGTTAATGCCCAATGTATTTTATTCATTTATTATTCAAATGTTGGGATCAAATCTAGAAATGATAAAAATAGATGTTATAACTTGTTGGAAATACTCGCACTTCGTCTTTGATGTGACGAAACTTTCACACCTGCACAGTGTCGAATGATTTTGATTGACAGGACAAGCACGTGGACTTCGTGTGAACTTGAAGCAGGAAAATAAAAACGAGTATGACTGTCAAACAAATGGATATGATTTGTTGATAAAAAAAAAAAAGTTACTTTCACTGTCTGATATATTTAGAAAAAAATTTCAGAGTTTGTTTGATATAGGTACAAACATTTAGTGAAGCCTGAAAGGAAGGGGGGATAAAACAGAATATCTCTCTCTCTCTCCCTCTCTCTCTCTCTCTCATTTGTCTGTTTAATAAAAACTATAACAGCATATTACTTAAATATCAAGTTCTGAAAATTGAATTTATAACAAATAATATGAATATGTATCTTTGTATTATCTTGTCCGAGTATAACCACGGCCATCTACAGTCATCTAGAAGTCAGTTCAATAAATCATCATGAAAAATAGAAATGACACATAATATATTATTGTATTAAAAATTTAAAATACGAGCGTATAAATGCAAAAAGTCCACTGACCTTTGTAATTAATTTTTTTTCATTACTTTACACGAAATCGCCCTAACACGGAGATATATGAATGTATGTTACAACCGCTTTAATTCATTCTATAAGTCAGAAGTTTTCTCTGATTTGTTTATACTTCAGCGTTCGGCAACAATTGCAATGTTTTAATGCGATAAAAATCGTGTGATTAAAAACTTAGTGTGCATGCATCATCTTTCTTAGGACAATTTTGGAGAATTTATTTTATTGACTTATTTATTCATTCATTTATTGGTTTACTTATTTATCATTTATTCTATTTTTTTTTGGCACCTGAAATTATAATACGATAGAATAATTTCAATGCAAGGAAATGATCAGAGGCATTCCGAATATATCGTTCATCTTTCGTTCACCGTTCACTTTGCATTCGTGTTTGCACTCCGTTCGCGTTCTGCGTTCGCTCACCGTTCAGCGTTCACACATCGTTCACTCACCGTTCGCTCTGCGTTCGTTCACCGTTCGTTCACCGTTCGCTCACCGTTCAAGTGGGAAAATAGAACGTTTCAGGGACTGTAATATACTAGTCAATATTGGTAGGGGACACCTACATGCTAGCTTGCTTTGGATTTAACACTATCAAACACTAGCACTATGTTTTGCAAGGAGGCTGTCATTGCTGAAACTAAAACTCAAACTGGAGCCATTGATGGAAATCGGGGAAAATTCCGGAAAAAATATGAAAATTGCCAAAAAAAAGTTTAGGGTCTGGGGTATAAAATAGGGAAGGTCGGGTAACCGGAACCACACATATTTTTTTATTTGGCCTCATACTCCAACACCTGGTTCTTCATCCAGGTTAAGGGCAAAATGTCATGTAGTGATAAGATATTAAAATCCTAGAAAATCCCCTTTTCTACTTTTGCACATCATGAAGATAAACTGAGCATGGTTAGGGAGAGCTTCAGATTCAGTCTACCAAAGTACCCCTGCGAGATGATCATGAATAATTCATGATTTACCTTGAATTATTCATGAATTTTATTCATGAAATGTTCATGAAATGTTCATGAAGATCCTATGAACTTATTATTGGACATTTTCAAATCATGAATTTTTATTCATGAAAGAAAGTTGATGAATATTCATGAATATATTTTTTCATGAATAATTCATGAAGAGTCATATTCATGAAGATTCATCATTTTAAGAATTGTCCAATAATAAGTTCATTGCATCTTCATGAACTGTTCATGAATAATTTATAAAATTTATTCAGGAATGTTCATGAATGAATAAAATTCATGAACTATTCATGAATATTCTTGCTTATTTGTATACAAAAAATGCAATATTATTATTCACTTTTATTCATGAAAATGCAAGAAGTCTAATCAAGCAAAAAACTGTAAAAGAAGATATTTTATAATACAGCATCTTGAAAGATTTCACAAAATTTCTGTTTGATTTCCAACAATGGCAACAAAATGTTTTTTTTAAAGTAAACAACTCTGATAAGTTGATAACCATAATTATGTATACATGTATATCTTATTTTACTCTTATTTAAAGTGACAAACTAGAAAGAGTTGAAGTATCTTGAAACACTGTTTACAGACAGACATAAAGAACTGATATTAGCTGAATTTGAGCTCCCTCTTCTTTTAACAACAATAAAAAAAAACAGCATTCAAATGGCAACACATTTTCATAGAATTGAAGGCTTTGCAATTGCCTTACCACTTACTTGCAACTTTTTGAATGTTTTGAATTTCTCAATTACATGTAGTTCATTCCTGGTTAAATTATGAAAAATTTCAAACATGACTCTTTGCAGAATCCTAAACCTTACTTGGTCAGGAGGAGGGTGGGGTCCTTCCTCAGCATATTTCAAAGTGGGTTTTTTTTGGCCAGAAATGGAACAGTTTTTAATTCCAGTCTAGGAGAAAAGTCTGTTTAGCAATAGGGCAACAGCTTTGAGGGCTATCAAGCATTTTCGAGCAGAAATGGTCAATTCCAAGATTCTTCTTGGTTCTCCATTTGGAATTTCCAGAATTTCATCATTCGGATCCTTTGATCGAATATCATTCATATTTTCATATCTTTCTTTTGTTTTTTCAAGAGTCCGGATTTTTTTGCAGAGTTTCTTATCTTCTGATCTCAACTCATCAACATCGTTTATGAACTGCTTCTCTTTTCCCTACAAGAACAAAGATTTTCTGAAAATGCCCATGAAGATTTCTGTTACATTTCTTAACTAATGAGAATCAACAAATCTTAAACTTTAACATTTTTACACTGAAACATGGTATTATAATGAAGGTTGCCAAGAACATTCACCTTAAAATATTCATCTATAAATATCTAGTATACTCTTTATTTAGCTGAAAAGTGTAGTATTAAAAGCAACTTTTGGTGTGTAATGCTAAAAAGTTACATTTACCAAAACAGATTGACATAAAGTTGCAAACGAAACTGCAAAGGGGATCATAAATTTACCTAGGACTACCGAAGTAGGTCATCCAATATTAAAACAATGATTCTTAAAAGTTTATCATGGCTTAAACACTATAACATAATTAAACATGAAAAGTACTAATTTGTCTTTGTCTAAAGATTCCCTGAACCTAAATTCATGGTTCAAATCTTCAGTGTCACTTTCTGAAGAAAGTGTGCCTATTAAAACAGAATTAAAAGAAATTTTCAGGCAATTTATAACAAAAATAAGATTTTTTTTACCTAAAAAACAAAGATATTAAAAAGGTAAGTGCAGAGAGATCAGTTCAAAGGTTACTAGGTACATTAACCTGCTTGATTTACCTGTAGTATTTAGTGATGTGGCAGGTGGTGACTGCCTTTCTGTTGCTGAATCAGATGATGAAGCTGGTGCTCTTTTTAGGAGTAAATTTGTTTGCCTTGAAAATAGTTTGCTGGAACAGGATCTATTTAGAAAAAAATATTTTCATTTTTAATGATAGACTATTTGTGTGTGTGTAATCATTTTAATCTGTGAAAGTATAATTATTCTGATAGATTTACTTAAGAGAGTTGAACTGTTTGGCTTACACTTTAAAAGAAACTTTTCATACGTACTGATGCATCCTGAAATGTATGGGTTTGTTCTCCTGAGTTCCTTCTTTTATTTTCTCAAGATGTTTCTTGTCATCTAGAAATTTACAATAAAACAATTATATGACTTTTAACTTAGAATTTTCAGTTTACACAACTCTTATTTAAGCATCCACAGTCTTGGGTTAAAACACTTTGTATGTGCCTTATCTAATTAATTAAAGCATCATTAGACTACAAGTGTAAAAGTGGTCAGGAACCTCCCTTCAAAAAAAAAATTCATACTCTAAAAGTTTTGAATTCTTATTGTAAATTTACCAAAATTAGGTTTCATCCCCTTCCCTGCCATTAGCTAAAGATACGGGGAAAAAACTTATACTTTTCTTGCAAGTTTTATTAATTTTAGTTTTATGCATCATAAGCAGATCTAGAAGTAGTAGCAGTTCTTCCATAGAGCAATCTAAGAGGAAGTTTGCCTATTTCCCTCAGCTGTCGTGTTGTAGGTCAATAGGCCTATGAATGTTTTGATAAACTAGCCTATCTATAATTAATGTATGTTACTTTGGTTGGATCCCCACTCAAAGCAAAGTTTGGCAAAGTCTTCATTTAAAAAAAGCATAATAATTTAACAAATAGAGTAACATCTACCGACAGATATCTGATTAAATCAGTGATTGCCTACCGTTTTTTGTAACTCACCACTAATCTCTGCAGTTATGGCTGCAAAGTAGATTGATCCTCTGAATATATATATTCTTCCTTCTTCATATTCTGTTATTTCCTTAAGAGGCTGACAAAGAATGACTACGCTAATTATAATACTTTAATATCGATCCTCCTACTCTATCAATTCACATTTCCAACGTTTTGCGCGTTTCAAGTTTCCGCCTTTCGTCTTGACCAATGGAAACTTGGGTTCTTAAAAATGTAAGGCAGAGCTAGGATATAGTTTCGAATTCCCAGTGTTTTTATGTTAAAAAATAACAAAGACTATCTGAATAATTTTTCACTGGAATTAAATTTTAAAAATCAATATAATTTTTATCAATTAATGAATTCAAAGAAAATTTTTACGTCATCATGAGCGTCTTCGTTTCGTATTATCATAACAAGTATGGCGGCCGCGTACGAGGGAACCGGAGGACAACAACTATGAAGACGTGTCGTATGGGAGAATAGACGAAAAAAATACGAGTGTGGATCATGTCATAGATACTTCACATCCATGCAATCTGTGTTGTATCATTTACACACGATGCATGGAAAAAGTATGACTTTTTTAACTACATCAATATTTTTGTATGGGGATAAAGCGTTTCGACCCAAGAATAGTACGGTACGGTACGGATAAGACATATAATTTTTTAGTTGTAAATAAATATATGACGTGTTTTAACGAAGATTACGAAGTTTTTTCTAAATTGTTTCAGTTTCTCACAACTTGTTTTAATTTTGACATTAGAGAAAATTCGGTCGAACAAAGTACGTTGCGTCGTGAAAAATGAGATTAGTTAAAGCACATTTTCAATGTAACTGGTTAATTAAAATAATAAAGGAACATGGGTAATTTAATAAAAAAAAAATTGCTGGCTATGATGATGCAGTGTTTGATTAATTATAATCAAAACACGAAATGTTTACAGATTTCATGATTTATATTTTTTCAGATAGTAGATAAATGAAAACATGTAATTAATTATCAGGTCCAGTATAAAGACTATTAATAGCTACGTAGGTATTTAAACCTACCCAAAGTAGCCATTTTTACCTACTTTTTGCATTACTTGCATTTTGTGGCCAAACGGCTGAATGACGCAACATGGTGAGTACCAAATTTCTACATACAGTCACACTGATGATGAATACAACAAAACGTTGACCAAAAAATGATTACTTCATAAATTAACAATTTTGCATAGTAATTAATGCAAAATTGTTAATTTACGATGTAATCAATTTGTGGCCAAAATTTTGTTGTATTCATCATCAGTGTGACTGTATTTAGAAATTTGGTACTCACCATGTTGCGCCATTCAGCCGTTTGGCCACAAAATGCAAGTAATGCAAAAAGTAGGTAAAAATACTACTTTGGGTAGGGTTTAAATACCTACGTAGCTATTGATAGCTACGTAGGTAGAAAGAGTCTTTGGACTGGACCTGATTATACCAGGGGCTAATTTGTTCAACAGTGCATATGCATGCAAAAGTTGTATTATGGGAGTCATGAGTGTTTTCTGGCAATCGCTTGTGTCCATTAAGTCTTCATGAAAATTCATGAACATTCATTACCTTGAACTAAACGTTTTTTTTTTTTTTCTGTTTTTAAACTGAAAATTACCTATATTCATATATATTCATCATTTGTTCATGAACTACATTTTATGAATATGTTCATGAATAAAATTCATGAACCATCTTTATGAACCAGTCATGAACCAGTCATGAATACATCATGAATTTTCATGAACGATTCATCAAAGTTCCTGAAATTATGAATTTCATCTCGCAGGGGTAGTTTTCTTTCATTAATCCTCAGGGTCAAAATGGCAATGTGGTAAAAATGAACTTAATGTTTGGAAATCTCTAGCCCAGAACATCTGGGAGATAAACTGTATGTATGGTTAAGAAGAACTCAAAGATGTCTTCCAAAATAGCGTTTTCCATGCCCCCTAGGGTAGGGGTTCCTCCTTCAGAGTGGGGTCAGAAGATGTATTCCATTTAAGAAATTCTTTTCTACTCCTTTGTCAGATAATGCTTCTTGGGATTTCTGAGTATGTTTACCAAAAAGTAGCTCATAGTGACTTAATTTTGAAATTTCACAGCTATATCTAAATATTTTGAATACTGAGAGGCTGAGAATCACTTTGTAAATTGATGCAGCTTTGGACCTTGGAGTATTTCGACCAAAAAGTAGGTCACAGTGACCTACTTTTTGGAATTTTATGGTATATTGAAATATTTCAGATACTTAATTGCTTAGATTCATCAAATTATGTGAATTGATACACCTTGGGTTCTCAGGTGAATCAACTAGAATCAATTCTGGTTGACCAATTTCTGGGAATTCAAGTTTATATAATATCTAGAAATATTTGAATAATAAGAGGCTTAGAATCATTAAACTTTTCACTTGTTGCATCTTTAGGCTTTTGAGTATTTCAACTAAATCACTGTGACCATTTGTAGGAATTTTACATTTTTATTTCAATATTTAAGATAATAAGAGGCTTAAAATTATCAAATTTTGTCAGTCAAGGCATCTCAGATCAACAGGCTGCAGTGTCAACTAAAAAAGTAGGTCACTGGGCTGCATTTGGAATTTCATAGTTGTTTCTTAATATTAAGGGTCCTAAGACACTTAGAATCATCAAATTTATTAGTAGACTCACTTGTGTCCTTGTATTGTGTCACCCAAAAAGTAGGTCACGATGGGCTACTTTGGGAATTTCATGGCTCTATATTAATATTTGAGATATTAAGGGACTTAGAATAATCAAACCTCAGTTTATGCATCCTGGGTTCTCAGAGTGTGTTGACAAAAAAGGTAGATTGCATTGACCTACTTCTAATTTCAAGGCTTTATCTAATCATATAGGATACTAAGACTATGAGGTTAAGAAAAGATGTGATAGGGTTGTACAATTTATCAGAAGAGCCATTCTAAGCCCTTGAGCTACTTGTTGTAAAAGGACAACCTGTTTCTAATCTTTTTGAAAGCCCTGCAATGTTTGCAAATTATTATCATGATTATACTGTATGATATTCATTAAATGTAATGTAGCCTGCCACTAAAATTCTTTGCCCTTCACCCTTGGTTACACCTCAAGGCAGGGCTAATTTAGTCATACTCTAACTTTTTGAAGACAAATTGCATGTTAAGTATAATGATGATTATAGAGTCCTCAACAACATTTTGTCACACAAGTTCAGGGTTGCAGTTTTAGTTGCCACCATTCAAGACATTCATAATAAGCAGATGACCATGAGGGTCATAGGACCTCTTGTAAATGTTTTTTTTTTTTTTTTTTTAAAAAAAAGGTATTGCCATGGTTACTAAGGGTTGAAGAATGTTTGAAAATTCTTCAAAATGCTATATCTGACCATCTTAACAAGTTGAGAAAATATAATTCTTTAACACTAGCATAAAACTAAAAGAAATATTAATGAAAGTAATGGTCAACCCCTGGCACTCACACCTCCATTTTAAGTACAAACCAGTAAGGCTACACTCTCATCTGACACTTATGTCCTTTTTTAAAGTTTTATTCCTATCTGTTTTTTAGACTACCTGAAGTTTTGGATTACCTCAATCAAGACTTTTGGAGGCACTAAGGCACCACTGTTTGTTGTTGTCACACATACTGAAGGAAAATCCACAGATGTAAGTAATCTTTTCTAGCTCCCATATATGTACCAATTCGATTACACCCCGCTTTACAATGAATTCCAGATCTACAGTTAACTGTCATCTACTCATAAATATGTACCAATTTGAGTACTGAAATTCTATAGCAAATTCCAGATTTTCAAATCTGAACATTCATTGTAGCTAGTGTTGTTCGAATCATTGAATAGATTATAATCAAAAATTTTATTAGTGCTCCATATTTTATTTTTAAAAAATCAGTTGTTTTATCTGTATTCATCGAGCATATCTTTGGGAAGCAAGGTTCCATCCAAGGTATATCTAGTATCTTAAAATAATTTAATTTTGTTTGTATTCTATCCTCTGATTGGTTAATATCCAAAAAGGAACACAAATTATTTCTGTATAACCTGGTTTTGTATGGGGACAACCCCCCCCCCCCCAACAACCATCTGAATCATCTGTATCCATACAGTCCTCTCATTTCCAGTCCTCGGGATTCATGGAAAATTCCATATTTAATAAATGTACCTTTAACTTCATACAATAATTCGATCTTACCACATGTAAACAAACAACAAGACTGCTAGGCCTATATATCAGTTTTTACCTCCCCTCGCTTCCCATTACTTCCATTACTTCCGTTACTACGGTTGTATTATTGAGCGGCAAATTTGAACTCATAAAAAGCAACGAAATTTTACACCCATAGTTATTTAATGATTTTAAAATTAAATTATAAGGAATGACTCTAACTCTTGGCCAAATTATTCGAGTATAACCTGGTTTGGGTCAGTTTACGCTGTACTGACCTAAACCAGGTTATACTAGAATAATTTGGACAAGAATTAAAGTCATTCCTAAAATGGTGGTCAGCTATGGCCCATCATATACATACACTCTCTTTCAGTTGTTTATTAAGTTTTTTGTTGTTGTTGTTGTTTTCCAATTCATTGAAATAATTAGTTACAGAAAACTAATCATCACTGATTCCCATCTTTAATTATAGCATATTACAGCAGATCTGTATTAATATTTCTATGCTACTTTATTAACCTCTACAGGAAATAAATAAGTACTTTAAGGAGTTTTGGAAAGCAGTACCAGGCGAGGACAGGAATTGGCTTAGCGAATCTCTGAATGATCGGGAATATGCAGTGGGTCTGGTTGAGCTAGGCGATAATTCCAAGGAAAAGCTTGAGTCAATGAGAAAGTCCATAGTTGAACTATTTACAGATGAGATCAATACAAAAATTGAAATGCCTTCTTCATGGGCTTTAATGGAGCAGTTATTGTATGATGGAGCTTGGAAGGTTTTGTCCCTGGATGAAATAAGGAGGCTAAACTTTTCCCTTCCTCATGAATACCAGATTAAAAGTGATGAGGAAATGTCTCAATTTTTAAAGTGTTTCCATAACAATAGCATTCTTTTGTATTATGATGAAGATAGATTAAGGGAACATGCAGTGATGGACATACAGTGGTTTGCTAATGCTTTCAGCAAGATAATTGCTGATGAAAATCATATCAATAAAGACTGCAAAAGGAGATTAATCAATGAGTGGCAATCTTTCAACAAAACAGGGGAACTTAGAGATAAAGTGATAGATGCATTGTGGAAAGATGAACCCTCGTACTTGGATCACAAAAGTGAAATTATGTCGTACATGGAGAAGCTTCAAATGCTGGTGCCTTTGAAGTCTTTTGAGGCTGTATCAGAAGATGGCATGTCATGGTATGTCCCATGTATGAACAAAAAACAGTTTAAAGCTGACTTCTTTGAAGATAAATGGGAATGTTCCTCCATTTTGTGCTTTCGGTTCACCTCTTTTGCCATGTTTGTGTTCTACAGACTGGTAGCATACTGCATGAGTTTTCTAAGATGGAGTGTTTCAATAGACGAAGACAATGAAGGGAGTCCATGTCTCTATCAAACAGCAGCAGTGTTTGATCATAATGAACACACTGTTGTTGTTGGCATCTCTAATGACGATATCCAGTTGCAAGTATTAAGAATCACACCGTTGACTGTAGATAAAGATGTATCAAATGAAATTGGAGACTCCATTGAAAAAGCCATAGAAAAGTTAACAGAAACATTTATCGATACAAAAATATTCCTCAAAGGATTCAAATGTCAAAATATTATTTGTAATGAAAAAGATTTATCTTTCACCCTTGCAAGTGATTTCTCCAAAATCAAGACTGATAAAGAAATTCAGTGCAAGTGTCGACTGAAGGAGAAACACGTGATAAATGTACAAAGGATTCTGAGTTTCTGGGAAAAGGTAACTTATCATTACTTGCTTAACATTATGCACCCAAATAAAGTTTGATCGTTAGGGTATGTACAATCACCATGTTTGTCTATCTGTTTCCACAATTACATGTGGATCATAACTTTGTAATAGAGAAACATTGAAAACTCGCTCTGGTACAAAAATTCTAACAACATGAGGATATGCCTTGATTTTGATGCAGGTCATTTGGGTTCAAGGTCAATTGCACAAAAAGTGGACTTGTCCACTGCAGAAGTAATATATAATGGAGAAAATTACTTTATACTAATGTTCAAACTTTACACAAACATTCCTGATGGCCCTTCACATGTGTCAAGGTCATGATTTACAAATTCTAGATCACTTTGAAAAAACATTTATTTAATTCATTGTCCTGGCCAAATATAATGATGGAGTAACACTGGTTAATCACAATGATGTCTCTAAATCAGTTATTGTTTCCTTGTAATTCTGTACCAAAGAAAAAGAAATTTCTGAAAACAAAATCGTCATCTCCATCACAAGTTCCTTTCATTGTAATGTTCTCTACTTGAGGACATGCAAAACATAGAGTTGACTTCCTTTTCATGAATCCCTGGAAAAACAAGAGGTGGAACAAACATTGAAGAAATACTAGCTAAACCATGTGTTTTTTTAGTTTTGTTTATTTTTTTTTCACTGTAAACAAGAATTTGCAGTCTCTTCATTAATTCAAATTCCCTTGGAAGACATCTTTGTTTTTATGCCCCTGTACAGTATATAGTTTTTGCCCTGTCCGTCCGTCTGTCTGACTAGCTGTCTGTCTGTTTGTCCGCAAAAACTTTAACCTTGCCCATAACTTTTGATTGGTTGGAGCTATGGCTTTCATATTTCTTTTGTATATTCCTTGTGACAAGACCTTTCTTTGGGTACCACCATATTTGACCTTTTGACCTTGGAGTTTGACCCAGTTTTGCAAAATTTTACCAAACTTTAACGTTGGCCATAACTTTTGAACAATTGTTGCCAGGGCTTTCATACTTCACATGTGTAATCCTTGTGACAAGACCTTTCTTTTGATACCAACAACTTTGACATTTTGACCTTTACCTAGAAGTTTGACTTAGTTTTGAAAAACATTAACCTTGCCCATAACTTTTGAACGGTTGGTGCTAGGGCTTTCATTTATTCACATTTGTAATCCTTGTGACATGACCTTCCTTTGGATACCAACAACTTTGAACCTTTGACCTTGACCTTGGAGTTTGACCTACTTTTGGAAAACTTTTACCTTGGCCATAACTTTTAAATGATTGGTGCTAGGGCTTTTATATTTCACTTGTGTATTTCTTGGGAAAAGGCCTTTCCTTGGGCACCATTAATTTTGACCATTTGACCTTGACCTTCATGTGTGACATACTTTTGAAAAAAAACGTTAACCTTTTCCATATCTATTCAATGGTTGCTGCTATGGCTTTCATATTTCACAGGTATATTCCTCGAGACAAGACCTTACTTTGGGTACCAACATATTTTATTTGCATTTGAGAAAGTTTAACCTTTGCTATAAGTTTCCATAGAGGGGCTTCAGTGTTTCACAAACACATCTGTTTTCTTTAAGAACCTCAGGGGATATATGATTTAATATTAAAAAATTATTAATAGATAAGTTACATTGTGCATGGCCTTAAAACAGTGTCCACTTTCTCATTTATATTTGACTGTCTTTTTCTTATTGAATGGTCCTGAAACAATGGCAATTCAGTCGACCAAAAACTGTATTAACACGTTCTCTTATATGATGAAAATGTAAAATTTATGATCTCTTTAAGCTTAAAAAAATGCCGTCATTTCATCATTAAATTGAATATTACTTAAAAAAAATACCATATTTCAGATTTAATCTGCCGCAAGTCTGAATTTGATGCATAACAAATTCTATACACAATTTTGATCTTCATATTTTCTTATGTTTCTGCTTAGTTTACTTGATTAAATTTTGTTATATAAAGGTTAAATTTATTTCAGACAAAGGTGAGTGTGTCTCCAGGGGCCTCTGGTGGACAAGACCTTGAGGGCCGATCTAGATTTGCAAAACTTGGAATGGCGATGAACGATGTGTTAAATCAGGCATACAGAGATATTCTAGAATCAGAAGTACCCCCTTCTGATATTGAGAACAAGGTGAATTTATTATCAAACAAAAACAGAATGAATCTGAAGTTGAACACAGATCAAGAAGATCTATTGAAAACAGCAAAACATTCTGGATATAAGGAATTTGATATTTCATTAACATACAAGATGATAAGAAGCATGTGTTCAACGATCCCTAAACCAACAAAAGGAAAATGGGGAGAAGAGCCTGCAGCAGGAGATGTGACAGTGGGTGACGATATCGAGAGAATAAGGTTAATCCGAAACAGTTTGACTGCTCATGTGAGCTCAGCCTCCATCCCTCAGACAGAATTCGATGACACCTGGTCAACGATGTCAGATATCTGCCAAAGGTTGGAAGCTTTCACTGGAAAGAAGTACTTGGATTACCTTAAGAGCATTTATAAACTGACTTTAAAAGATGAAGATGCTAGGGAACAACATGAAATGTTGAAGAAATTAATGTCAGATATTCAAGAAGTTAAGTCAGATTTGAAGAAATTAAAGCAAAATTGAAGCCAACAGGCAATGATGCCCGAAATTGGTTTAATGCATGTTGGACTTTAAACGAGTGTCATTTGAAAATATGTGCCAAAGATTAGAAACCTTCACTGGAAAAAAGTACTTGGATACCCTTAAGGATATTAAAACACTGACCTTGAGAAAGGAAGCTGAGGATGCTATTATAAAAAATGTTAAAATGCAAGAAATTTTGGAGACAATCAAATCAAATGTCCAAGAATTAGAAACACTGATCAAACCTAACGAAGGTGCTACAAATTAGTTCATGAGTTTGAAGAAATCAGTGTAGAATACTAAAGAATTGCATGTTTTACTTGACATAGAATTCACAATCAATTTGAATAATTTTATTCAATGACTTTATTTCTTTGGAATTTTGATTTGTTAATTTAATTCAAGAATTAGAACAATGTGTGTTTTGATAAGAAAATCATTTTTTTTGTTTTGATTACACTGAGTGAATTCAAACATTACAATGTTTTTTGACAATAATGGCTATAGAATACAAATGACAACTAACCTTGCATGAAAATTATATTTAAAATGAAGAATATGAGGTGGCCACTTTTTGAAATACTTTAGCTTTAAAGCTCAGAATCATCAATGAATAAATTCAAACTTCAATGTTACTCTTTTTTTTAATTAGCTGAATAAACTTCAGCAGTATTTTAGAAACTAGGATGTATGAATGAAGAGAAGAAAAATAGTGAAATCTCTGTGCCTCTTTGTTTCATCCAAATCATATGATCCTGTTGATATATAGTTGAAAATCCCATTGTGTTGGTGAAGTATTTTTATTTGTACATTAAAGGAACCCTAATTTTAAAGGACAAGTTTTTATGCCTTTGCAATAGTCATGCAAGATCTACTAGGTAAATGTGTCTGTAAATCATATCTAAATAACCCTAATTCTATAAGATGGTAAGTGCAGGAGAGTTTGTTTTAAAGGATTCTGTATCCTACTACTTTTACTCGCTTTAGAGTAGCTGCATAGTTCAAACTTGTATGCAAGTGTCAGACAAGAAAGGAATATTCTAATTCATGATTGCAATTTTCTAAAACACAGATTTGGGATCCTACTTTGTTGCTTGTGGTAATATGTTAACTTCATTTTGCTTATGTATAATACACTTTATGTCCAGTTGCATCAATATATTTACAAAATGTTACATGATAGCATAAATATACATATATTAAATGTTTCTGCTGAACAACGTGGGGCTTAAAGTTGCTGAAGATCTCACTGAAAATTGTATTTTTGAAAACGACTGTAAATGATCGGCAGGGTCACTTTTTTGATCAAACTTTATGTGAATCAACAGCCAAATCAATATTGCATTTTTTACTACCTGTGTTAGACGACCTCTTTCTACCTGTGTTAGACGACTTCTTGGGATTTACGGGAATCACAATGTCAGTGTAGCTGTCCATATGTCCATTAAGTTTTTTCTTAATTCACAGATCATCATGTAATTATTCATTTCACTTTTAGGGAACAGACGCTAGACAAATTTTGACATATACAGTAATTGCATTATGTATGTCTATAATTGTATATATAGGCATTTATTGTCCCAAAAGTATTTCCGACATTGATTTTATTTCCAATTTCTGTAAAAATTTTGTAATTTTCTTCAAACTTCTTGGCCCCATATTTTTGATTTATTTTAAAAGCTGAAGAGTGGCTTCTTACTTGCAGCTAACCTGTAACAGAGCTTAATGTAAACTGAACTGATTGTTCAGCGTATGTCTGTATTAATATATGTTTATATTTATATGTATGTGACCTAAATTGAGTTTCTAGTGGTATTTTTTAATTTAATGGTATGATAACGTGTCATTTTATATATTCAAATTAAGCTAGGATATATTTTCTTTACTTCCAAGGAATACCTTTATAATAAAGTGTGTAGTTTGTCAATGAAGATGCCACTTCCGTTTAGTACTTTCATTTGTAATAGATTGTGCGCCCTCATATTGAAGATAATAGTCCAGATTAATTGCGCCACATAATTCTTTGCAAAGAGGTATTTGTATCATATCTGTTATAGTGAATAAATATGTTTATACAATTGATTGTAGTTGCCCATGGACCATTTATTTTGCCTCATTTTGAAGAAAACATAGTTCAGCTTTGGTTGCGCTATAACCTCTATGCAAAGAATTATTTATGTCATGTATGTTGCATTGAATAAATATGAATCGATAGGTTTATACATCATGTAATAATAAAAGAAATAATGACTTTCAAATGTAGGTATATAATGTAGAAAACAGTTTTCAAACAATATATATAGGGACTTTATGATGACACTAAGAGTGGCCATTTTCAAAAACCCTCTATACAGTGCACACAAAATAAGCTGATTCTAGCAATATTTTTATAGAGTAAGAGTAATCTGCTCTTGGATCTAAAACTCAATAAATGGAAATTTACAGTCTATTGCTCAATCTGTAATTGATGTTAGTATTAAAATTTGATTTTTTCAAGATAAATAACACTATTTGCATGATATTTCCTGAAGGCAAGAAACACTAAAACTATTTGCATGCATTTTCCCCACTTAAGTAAACAAGTGGTTTTTGTTCATTAATACTTCATTATCTCTGAATATTTTCCTGAGTTGAAAATGAAAAATTAAAGATTAATATTTGTAGCTTTAAACCTTCATAACTTTCTCAATGTCAAAAGAAATTTATCAATGTGCATAAAGGGTCCTTAAATGCGAGAACAAATTTCACAAATTTTTAGAAAGTGAAAACATGTTCTATTTTGAAATATACATAAAAGATATTTGTACTTTTGATCTTTTTTTTAGACAAGGGGCATGAAAATGATAATGATGAGTCCTCGCTAAACTGAAAAAGAAAATCCAGACTATTTCGAAGTGAATGCCTTAGAAAATCGTGACATGATAATATCATACTAAGAGTACCGTCAAGGTTCCAAGACCTCTTGCTGTTTCATATGTATATTTTTTTTATGATTTTCTAATTCATTAAGGGATAATTCTTAAAACATTAAAGTAAGGTAAGTTAATCTTAGAAAAAAAAAACTTGATTATCAGAGAAACATCCTAAAAACTATACAATTTCGTTTCTCTTAATCCTTTGAGGAATACTCTTCCAAAAATAGAGTAAATACATGTATAGCTATGAAGATTTACTTATTACCGAATAAATTTTGATTTCACACCGTAAATTTTTTTGGGCTCAGAAAGGTTATTGAAGCCGAATTTTGTGGGTAGAGGGTGACAGGGAAAAATGTGTTGTATTTTTTTTTTTTTTTTTTTTTTTTTTTGGCAACTGTATTTTATTTTTTAAAAAAATTTGAGTAAAAAAAACTTTTTGATTAACATGAACTGCAAGCATTGCACCAATGCATTCATTCCTTACGTTAAATAATACATATTTGAATGAATTATGCAAACATGGTATTTACAATCCGTTATGTGTATGATGGAAGATCCTCATGGAATAAAATTTCACAAATGACATAAAAATGCCTTTGAGAAAGCCAATATCCCTTTCATTTCCTAAAACTGTCTTTGAGATTTTGTTTAAAATCGGCATTGAAATCAGACAGGGTCAGAATATTCTGATTTTTTCAAGATAAATAAACACTATATATATATATATATATATATATATATATATATATATATATATATATATATATATATATATATATATATATATATATATATATATATATATATATTTAAGGAATGAATTTAATAGCTTCCCATTTTATACGGTATAAACTGGGTTGGGGCAGTTTACGCTTTATAAACCGCGAAGCGGTTTATAAAAAAGCGTAAACTGTTCCAACCCAGTTTATACCGTATAAATTGGGTAGCTATTAAATTCATTCCTTATAATTTAATTTTCATTCATTTAGTGTAAGAAAAAAAGATGATTGTCCTTAAAAATTACTTCAATTTGTACAAAATTTGAATGTAACGTCAGGCGGATCGATACGTTTTTGACGCAAGTCATTGTGACGTAGGCAACCCATTTTATACAATATAAAGTAAATTTTTTATCCAATCAAATAAAGCGTTACAACCAAAATTAAATTATATATATATATATATATATATATATATATATATATATATATATCTATATATCTATACTTATAAATTAATAAATTTTGCAAATAAATATCTATACTTATAAATTAATAAATTTTGCAAATAAACTCCGAAACCGATGCACCAGAGTTTTTACTTACTCCTCTAAGAATACACTAGATACAATATGATGTCCGTAAACTATATTTAGATTTCACTGGCATTGTAAGTATCGTACATTAAATTAAAAGTCTACTATTATTTTCTATAAAAAGCCATGAAATAGCAAAAACACGAGTACGGTGGCGTTTCCGGTTGGCGGATCTAAATTTCTGGCAATTTTCAATGAAACTGACAACAATCAATCGTTTACTTATTTCATGAAACGTAATCACTGAATTATTCAATCTAAACTTGATTTAAATGACATAAAAGAAATAAGTTGTGATAACCGATTAAAAAGGGAAATGTGCAAATTATTTTTGTCATTCACCGATCTTAATATTGACGGAAGCTTCTAGAACATCATATAGCATCGAGCCCGATGTTAAAAAGAAAAACGAGACGGTTATAGCTGCAGGAACATCATAAAAAAGCTGATGTCATAGTGTGAATGGTCATTGAAATAATGGTAAATCATTGATAACACTATAAGTTGTGAATATATTTATATATCGAAAGACTATTGCATATATGTAGTAGGTTTTCCTAATAAATTTATTGGTAAAATGTGTAATATATTCCTCACTGTGAGAGCATCGTGGCAACGAACCCGAAGTACAATTTCTACTTCGTAATAAAATTGCTTACATGAAAAGAGAAATTTATGAATAAGATATTGATCAAATACAATTAATCGATACATTTCAGTTTTTTTTTTTTCTGTATAGTCTTTTGTATCAAATACTCGGCCTATTCATAGGGCGTTAAAAGCTAATTTTTACACAGGTACTTGCGTCTTGGTTTATATATATGTATGTACCTTATTGATATGTAAAAAAGGTAAAGTACATTTTTTACATATCAAAAAGGTACATACATATTTATACACCAAGACCCGAGTACCTGTGAATTTTTACCCCCCCCCCCCAAAAAAAAAACTATCAGTAAAATGTGCATATTCGCTGCTTTTATCCTTGACGGAAATGAAATAAGAGCATCTGAAGTACAATTACCATAACATAGTATTACAGGTTTCACAATAAACATCAATTAATGAAATTGTTATTTTTTCAAGTTTTTATAAAGAGGGGTGGTTGGGTGGTTGGAGACGCACATGTGGGATTTTGAACAAAGTATTTCTTCCTGCTATAAGCCTGTAGGCTGTCAGTAGAAACTACAATATATTTTCTGTCGGTAGTGGTATAAATTCAATTACCCGCGCTTGCGCGGGATTTCATCTAGTATATATATATATATATATATATATATATATATATATATATATATATATATATATATATTCCCCTTTCATATATATATATATATATATATATATATATATATATATATATATATATATATATATATATATATATATATATATATTCCCCTTTCATATTTATATATTAGGGATGTCAAATCAGTCAATTTTGATAATCGGTTACTCGAACGTTTTTCCGATCGAGTACCCGGGTACTCGGTAAAAATGAAAATACAAGTGTGTAAATTTTCTTGAGCCCGTTTAAGCTCTCTTAAAGCCCGAAGTTGTTTTTATCACGTTTATAAATTATATAAATAATTGAGTCAAAGGGAAATGATTTTTTGGAACTAAATTTATTTATCAAATAAACACAAAAGACATAACTAATACATAAAAAATTACAAATGGTTTGCAGTTCTTTTTTAGGATCTACATGTACGAGTATTTCATCAACGCAAAAGGAGGACAATCTGTTGCGAATGTTTGTGGTGATTAGACTAGCAAAAGAGAAGGAACGGACGTTGTTGGGATCGCTAGTCTAATATTATTTCATGTTTGTTGTTTCCCCCGTATACACTAAACTTACTACGCAAACTGACTTTCAACATTTTTTAAATCTTTTAATAGTTATTTCCAAATATTTCTTCACTTTTGAAGTGGGTAGCGGCATTTCTATGCATGTCCGATTTCGATCGCTGCCGTATATTAATCAGCTGTTAAGGACATACGCAATGTACCTTACCTACTGATACTTTTTCGAGATATTCTTAATTTAAGATTATAGTGCTGTCAGATGTTCGTAGACAAAAAATCAGCATGCATTACCAGGGGTTTTGAAAAGATATCAATTGATGAAAATTCTTGTATATTTCAAAGAAAAATATACAAAAATTACTAAACATATATTCTAGATGTTTTGTTTATCCAAACTTGTTTTAGAAGAAGTGTACAATAACATATATAGACATTAAAATTTAGCACACAGTTCCTTTAAGTATTGGAACTCTTCAACTCCAAGGAAAAAGACAATAAAGTTCAAACTATGTTGCGTATGTCCTTAATTAAAAAAATTAAAAACGATTTGAAAATAATAGACCATACTTAAACGATGTTCACTGAAAACAATCATTGAAGCCATCCAAAAATTAAGGACCATAATAGGTGAGAACAGCTGTGTACCAGGTAATTGGTCACTAATTACTGTATATACACAGTCAAAGGCGATAACGGGTGTTTTACAGGTGTAGATGACGACATGCTAATTACCGTATGAATATTTAGCTTATTTTTTGATAAGTTTTTGATAAAAATATGTACTTTGAAATAAGAAAAAATACACTTCCGAGTAACCGAGTACCATTTTTAGTATTCGATATTCGGACGTTCGATCGAGTACCCGGTTAACCTTGATGTCCTTAATGGTGGCCAGATAGTTCAGTTGGTAGAGCACCTGACTGGAGATTCAGGGGGCCCGGGTTCGAATCCCGGTCTGGTCCGCTGCATTTTTCTCCTCTCCCGTTATATATATATATAGAGAGAGCGAGAGAGAGAGAGAGAGATGCACGAATAATGATTGGCAAATACATGTATTTAGATCATGTTTATGAAAGTTATGGGTAATTTATAATTGTAGATACTATGCACAGAGGATTTGCATATATTGTTTTTCTTTTGGACCTTCAAGAAATTTTTCACTCTTTCTGGGATACCACTAATGGCCGATTGATTGGTTGAGATTAAACCTGTTATCAGCACCTAGGGCCACGGAACAGTGAGGAATGTTTTGTGCCTGCAACAAGCACCTATTTTAACACAGAGCCTCAGTCTTATCTAAAGTTCTATTTTCATAAATACATGTATTTCCATTTCTATTTGTTTTCTCTGTGATAACTCTTTGAAAATTAGTTTAGTTGATTTCTTGATCATTCTACCGGAATGTAAATTTCGCCATGCGAAAGGTCAGGAGCTAAGAAGGCCTAATATGCATGTAATTCTCGTGCGGCTGTCTTTGTGTCTGACGCTAAGGAGGCCTAATATGCATGTAAATCTCGTGCGGCTGTCTTTGTGTTTGACGTCAGTGGGCGGGGACTATTGAAATATGAACATGTGAGGCCTCGTGTAATTCATGGCCGTACACTAGGAACCGGGGGGCCGTGCCCCCCCCCCCATAATTTTGCCGATCTATAGATTACTATAGTAAACATAGATACTATATGCTTGTGCCCCCTCAATAAAAACGTGTGATGACCTTTTTTATTATTATTATTATTTTTTTTTTTTTTTTTTTTTTTTTTTTTTTTTTTTTTTTTGCTTGTCAGGAAATTTTTGGTAGTGCCCCGTCAACTGTCAACTGAAAATGTATGGCTGTGCCCCCCCCCCCCAAACTGAATTTGCTTCCTATGGGCCTGTAATTTAAACTTATTAGTCTACATTTTTAAAATCTAAATTTACAATTTTAATTCACAATGAAATGGAATATAAGAAATAACGGTAGCGGATTCGGAACATCTAATTTTAATTAGATTGACCATTGAATCATCCTTGTATGTATACAAACTCGTACGCCTACAATTTAATCATCCTTGTATGTTACAAACTTGTACGCCTACAATTGAATCATCCTTGTATGTACAAACTTGTACACCTACAACTGAATCATCCTTGTATGTAAAAACTTGTACATCTACCATTGAATCATCCTTGTATGTTCAAACTTGTATGCCTACAATTGAATCATCCTTGTATGTACAAACTTGTACATCTACCATTGAATCATCCTTGTTTGTACAAACTTGTACGCCTACAATTGAATCACCCTTATATGTACAAACTTGTACTTCTACAATTGAATCATCCTTGTATGTACAAACTTGTACACCTACAATTGAATCACCCTTGTATGTACAAACTTGTACATCTACAATTGAATCATCCTTGTATGTACAAACTTGTACATCTACAATTGAATCACCCTTGTATGTACAAACTTGTACATCTACAATTGAATCACCCTTGTATGTACAAACTTGTACATCTACAATTGAATCATCCTTGTATGTACAAACTTGTACGCCTATACAATTGAATCATCCTTGTATATACAAACTCGTACACCTACAATTGAATCATCCTTGTATGTTTTGTTTTGAACATATTTTATTGAGTACATCAAAAGGATTGGAAACAAGTTCTTTACAACTTACAAAGTTCCTCTCCTTATATATAACAATTTGTCATGCAAAATAGAAGAAAATAATACAATTAATACAAGTGAAAAAGCAATTAAATAGCATATCAACTAGAAAATCTACATGTTTCGTCAATAAATTTATGAACAGCAGCAAAAATACTGTTATTTATCTGTAAAGGCAAATTAACATCACCACATAATAATAGATTTATATCAATAGTAACCAATTCAAGAGTGAACAAGCGATTAAAAAGAGTACTTCTTGCATTAGAATAATTTTTGCATGCAAAAAAGAAATGGTACACATCTTCGTTTTTTCCACATAAACATAAGGGACTATTTATAATGTTTCGTTTATAAAGATCATAATTTAGAATACAGGAATGTCTTAGCTTAGTATGAATGATATTGGTGTATCGCTTACCAAAAGAGAAGTATGATGGTGGATTTTTAATTTTTGTTATCAAGTTTTTTCGGAATGTTTTGATTGAGATGTATGTACAAACTTGTATGTAGACGTTGATTTTAATAACAACGAAGACTGGGTTCAATTAATATAATGTATATTCCATATGTACAGGTCATGTTATGTGTAGTTCTGTAAATAAAATATTTAACAAATAATTCACAGACAAACAAACATACACAAACATCACACAAAACACTGAATTTTCTGGCTAAGGGAAATAACTCCATTTTCCTCATAACTTTAAGGATCATAAAATAATCATTTCAAGCATTATATTATGCAATTCATTATCATAAAATAATTTACTTTTCACTATAAACATATCCATTCATAGTATTCAAATGAAATTCTATTTACAACACAAATAGACATCACAATATACACAAACTTCACTAAACACAAAGCTTACCAAATATATGGTATATGAACCTGATCTTCCTGATGCTTAATTTCTCAGTCAGTCATAACTATAATAAATTATCACATAAAGTAAGTCTGACTGATTATTGGCAAAATATATTTAAAACTCATAAAAAATAATATTTTACAGAAATCTCATTCACATAACTTTCATACATCTTGCTCATAATTAATAATGTTAAAATGTTAATAAACTGACCTGTTTAGTATATTTAAATTGTCCATATAAAGTCCATAAGGTCTGGTATACAAATTGTCAGTAAATCATTTTGGAGTCAGTAAAAATACACTGCTCTCTCTAAGGATCTTTTTTGAATGTCTAAAAAATTACTACAATAGTGAGCTTCTCACCAGAGTAGCCAATCAAATACCTGGGTTCACCCATGCATGAATAGCATGCTTGACTTAATGGGACACACTATGGAAAAGCCTTAGTGTAATAAATATATACAAACGCTCTTACTTATAACTATTTAAAGTATGGAAATACATTATGGACAAAAATTAAAAACAATAAGTCAATGCTGTATTTTTATTAGATAATATCTTTATTAATAAAAACATGCGGTCACATGTATGCCAACAATTGAATCATTTACAAACTTGTACACCTACAATTGAACCATCCTTGGATGTACAAACGTGTATAACCCTTGAATATATACAAGTGTAAAACATGTAATTGATCATGAATTAGGTGGGTATTGTGGCCCATGAGCCTTTAAAAAAAGCATATACCCAAATTGTTGATAAAAATGGCGACATGAAATACCTTTGCTGATACAATATATGACAATTTTACACTTTTAATAATTGGAACATATATAAAGCACATCCCCCCCCCCCCCCCCCCCCACACACACACACACCACCTCCACCACCAAATAAATAGATAAATGAAAATAATTGAATAAATGAAATTGAATTAAAATTAAATAAAACAAAACTACAAGGTCCTACAAAACCCCACAAGACTCTACTATGAGTTTCTTCGAAGATGTTTTAAGTGGACTAATTCATCGTACGAGTTAATGTTGACTTTATCCGGAAGTATTTGCCACGTCCGTTTTTACACGATTTACCGGCAAAGTGGCAGTTAGTGGGGATATAAACAACCAATATTTAAATAGTTTAAGCATACTTAAGGCAATTTAAGTGTGTTGAAGATGGTAAGTAACCTTCATTCTATTTAATTAGAAGATTTTTAAAACATATTTCAAGTTTTTTTCCCTGTGGAGTGATGTTGTATGTCGCAGTCAAGCAGTAGTCAGAGTAGAGAGATTGTGTCGAATATTTTGTTTTTATTTGTTGTTGTTGTTTTTTAATTGAAGTTTTAAATAGATGAATTACTATTCAGTAGAATATAACTTTTAATTTACTGATATGTCTTTAAGAATTCTACCAGTTGTAATTTCTTTGTTTTGTTTTTTAGGTCTCTGTCATCAACTCTATAGACACGTCACACGAGGACATGATTGTAAGTAAATATATTTATTATAAAACCTGGTTGTATTTCATTTGAAATTAATTTTTCTTCTCAGAATTCCGCGAAATATTTACAATTACATTCATTAGTATATTGATGGAGCTGTTGGGGAGAGCGAAGTTGTGTATAATTTATTACTGGATAACACTCTTTTCACGTAGATCTGCCTCATTCATTTGGAACGTCTAGACTGTAAGGTCACAGGACTTTGTATACATCAGTTACATTTCCATAACTTATAAAAGGGCAAATTTAACTTAGGGCATTTATTCTATATTCTATCAACTAAATTAAAACAAAGCAAGTATCTATTGTAAAACTAGAAAATATGGCGCACTACTTATTTTTGCGCCTTTGGCACAAGTGCCCCTGAATGCTAAAATTTATTGTGCGTTAACAGATTTCTAAATATTCAACATTATGTGTTCAAAGTAATCACTTAAGTACATGTCAACTGGAATGAGTGATTACGTAATGTTGTAGAACGGCTGTATTTTTGTATATATACACACTCGCACTGGTAATCTGTTGGTGCGATCAAGAAAATTCTGCCAAATTATGAATTAATTAAACTATTAATTAAGCTTTTGTTAGTTGTTACCCAGTACTTACCATTAGCACCTTCAAGGCTTCTCATCGTGTCAATCATCTATCACCTCGAGGTAAACTATGCGATTAAGCATGGCGATCAACCTTGCAGACAATACCTGATTATGTTTACCAGTTATCCAAGTAACTTTCCTTCGATGCATGCATGGTTTTAATATGAATATAATGCATGAACTCCCCACAACCATTTATTGAAGTACATTCACAAGTTTAAAATCAACATTGTGCCACATCCATGTGCTTGCAACACCTCAGAAAAGTGAACCAATGTTTACCTGTGAACGCGAGTTAGAGATCAATGCTATTGTGTTTGCATGCTTGAGCGACCACAAAATCAAATACGGGCGTAAATCAAAGGAAAAAATATCACAAAGACACATTTATATATTTTTAATGACAATCACAAGTGCTAAAATTTATTTGCTCCAAAGCATTCCCACTTGCATATATGCTCAAATTTTCTCGTTTAATAGTATTTTATTCTTGAACTTTTGTTTGGTTACCATAAGAGTTTGAACAAAAAGCACTATTGTAGTTGGGGAAAAATAGTGTATTTGTGGTGCATTGTTGGTACCAAGGTTTACTGCAGAAAATTTTTTTATAGGATCAGTATGCAGTAATCCAAATTTTCTCTTCACCCAGGCATTTGTGTTAGAGCTCCAGTGCTATATTGGTGCTTCACATCACTTGCTGAACTCACTATTACATTTTCAAAAATCTTTAATAATTTTCATCATTTTACCTGTATGTTTTGTTTGTCATTTTCATACAACATTTAAAAGCTATCTTTTGATTTTCATTTTAACTTTGTGGTAGACTTCTTCACAGTTTTAGGAAACTCGACTAAAATTTACCAGGGGCAGGGGAAAACAGTTTATTTTTACATGCTACAGTTGTAATTTTAAGCCTTAAATAATTTCAAGTCTTGTATTTTGTCTATTTGATATAAATTACAATGTACAGTGATGTATCTATTATATTTTACATTTATGCCTTGGACATTAGCATTCTGAAGAAAATATATACATGTATTTTAAATCCTGATCTTTTTTATGGGATGAATCAGCATGATGCCCAGTTGGACTATTACGGTACAAAGCTGGCCACTTGTTCCTCAGATAGATCAATCAAGATATTCGATGTCAAAGGGGGACAGCAAACACTGATTACTGAACTCCGGGGGTGAGTTATTGAGAAACACCATCAAGTTTTATATGATTTTGTAAGGAACAAGATACCTGTTAAAATTGTGTAGATTCACATTTTGGACAAACATAACTCAAGGATTGTCATATATCAGGGTTCGAAACTCACTATATACAACTCGCAAAATGCAAGTTAGAATTCCCAAATTGCGCGTTTAAAATTTGGTTACTCACAAAAACTTGCGAGTTGATTTATCGAAATTTATAAAGGCTTTTATATTAAAATTGTGAGAAGTCTTGTGAAATTGCGAGTTCACTTTTTTGGTACTGGCAAGTGTTTGCGAGTTGTAATTTTAGGGAGTTTCTACCCCTGTATATGGATGAGACCACAAAGGGGGGGTGGTATATCAAAACTTTTGAAGATATACTTAACTTGAAGTTAAGGACCACATTAAGATAAATAAGACATTTCATTTATGTATATGTCAGTAAGAGAAATGTGATACTGGTCACAGAGCTTTGTAAAAATTAGCGTTTTTAAATCCAATTTCAATTTTTTTTTTTTTGATATCTTCATTTGTCTTGTTTGTTTTCATATTTGGGCACAAGTATTGAATAGAATAATTAAAAATATAGTAATTATTATACCTCTTAACTTTGTTATGATGAATTTAATTAATTTATACAAAAAAGTGGTAGCTTCTTTGGAGGATTTTTTTTGGTGTATGTATTAGGCGAACCTTTTTTTATTTGTTGGATTACGGATCCGCCGACCGAATTTTTTTGACTTGTAGAAAAAAAATAGAATTGCATTTTTCCAAATTTTTTTTTACTGACCGACATAAATTTAAAGAAATACAAAAGAAAAAAATTCAGATGTCTGCAAACTGTGAAAAATATCAATAAGAACACCATAAATTGGTTTTATTCACGAAAAGATACCTTAACTTTTGTACATTCGGTTTTAAAATTGATCGGGTTTGGAATACACACTTGACTGTCACATGTGCCATATGATGGCTGAGGAGGAAAGTTTGTCCAAGGGTGGTTTGTGAATCAATTTAATCATATGTACATGGAATACTAAATAAAAATCAAACAAAACATATGACTAGTTTTATTATTGATATTTTTAAAAGTATGTCAAAAAGTTTTTTTTTATTTTCTTTTCGACCGACTGACCCAATTTTTAAAATAAAAAATCCATAATCCAATTAAAAAAAAAATTTTCGCCTTATAACAGTGTATAAACAATTTAGTAATCTTGCTGATGTTTAACGCTGTCTTCTGTAGTCATGATGGACCAGTTTGGCAGCTTGCCTGGGCTCACCCAATGTTTGGCAATCTGATTGCGTCCTGTAGCTATGATAGAAAAGTCATTATCTGGAAGGAAACAAACGGATCATGGGGAAAACTCTACGAATATCAGAATCATGACTCATCAGGTAACATTTACATACATCAGAATTGCGACTAGTCATGAAACATATACTTATTTACATATATATATATATCAGAATCACGACTTGTCAGCTACATTAACAAGTGTGGCTGAGAATCAAATTCTGGAAGATGTCACTTTTAAGTAAGTCACTTCAAATGAGATTCAGAAAAGATTTCATAAATCACATCAAACAAGGAGACAGCATGTTCCATAACATTATATGACAACAATATTTCTAGGGCTGGGACGATATATTGAGATATCGATAATATCGATTCTTTGTGAGGACAATATGCATATCCATACGTATGAGGAAATATCGCAAAAAAAATTCTGACATTTTTTTTTGTTTGCTTAACATTTTGGGTTTAATATATAAAATAAATATGCTAAATATAAATATGAAGTACAAAAAATTAACACCACTTGTGTAAAATAATTTTGTTTTAACAGATATGTAACTTCTTTGAACAAATTATTCTTATTTTTGAAGAGATGTTTTGTTCATTTCAATACAAAAAAAGATTTTATAACCAGTTCAACATATCATGGTACATATCGTATTGTGGCTCAAATATCATGATACGTATCGATATAGAAAAAGTTGTATCGCCCTAAATATTTCATTCTGATGATCAGATCAAATGAGGTGACATCAATTTTTATAAGATCACATCAACATCAGATATCGTTATGTACAAGTGTTAATGCAATTTTCTCTAACATTGTCTGGAATTGAGGAAGCGATTAGAGAGTTGTTTTAATATTGTTGCTTAAATATAATAGCTTTTCTTTTTGTGAGTGTAAATTATTATTGTCTTTAAAGTTTAGGATCACTGGTTTTATAATTTTAAAATTGATTACATGTATATTAAAAGCTTTCCACATTTTGAAGATCTCTTTGCTTGCTCATTGAATGTCAGAGATGAGAGATTTTTCCATGATCATTCTTTTCCAGAGTTTATCGTTGACGTAATGTGTTATTTATTTTGACAGTGAACTCTGTGAACTTTGCCCCCCATGAGTTCGGCCTCCTTTTGGCATGTGGCAGTTCTGATGGTTCCATATCTATCATATCCAGTACAGGTAATGGTCTACGTCATATGTTCCCATAGATATTATTTTTCCGTGTGAACAGAAGCAAACACAGAATAAATATGACAGAACAACACATGTATATTTAAAACAATTCTGTTGTTATATGTGGCACATGTACATGCAGTCTTCATCAGTCAAGATGAAAGAAAATTTCCGGAGATTTAAAATGCATGTCAGACACATGGTTTTCATTTCAAAGAGAGATAACTCTAAAACTATTAGTGTTTCTCTATTTACATAGTACAGGGTTATTAATTTACATGTTATTTATAAGAGATGGAATTAACATGTGTTGTTATTTATAGAAGATAGAATACATGTATTTTTATTTATAGGAGATGGAACATGGGATGCCAAGAAGATACCTAATGCTCACTCTGTAAGTGTTACTATGGTTAGATACCTAATGCTCACTCTGTAAATGTTGCTATGGTTACATACCTAATGCTCACTCTGTAAGTGTTACTATGGTTACGAACCTAATGCTCACTCTGTAAGTGTTACTATGGTTACATACCTAATGCTCACTCTGTAAGTGTTACTATGGTTACATACCTAATGCTCACTCTGTAAGTGTTACTATGGTTACGAACCTAATGCTCACTCTGTAAGTGTTACCATGGTTACATACCTAATGCTCACTCTGTAAGTGTTACCATGTATACATACCTAATGCTCACTCTGTAAGTGTTACCATGGTTATATACCTAATGCTCACTCTGTAAGTGTTACTATGGTTACATACCTAATGCTCACTCTGTAAGTGTTACCATGGTTACATACCTAATGTTCACTCTGTAAGTGTTACTATGGTTACATATCTAATGCTCACTCTGTAAGTGTTACTTTGGTTACATACCTAATGCTCACTCTGTAAATGTTACTATGGTTATATACCTAATTCTCACTCTGTAAGTGTTACTATGGTTATATACCTAATTCTCACTCTGTAAGTGTTACCATGGTTACATACCTAATGTTCACTCTGTAAGTGTTACTATGGTTACATACCTAATGCTCACTCTGTAAGTGTTACCATGGTTACAAACCTAATGCTCACTCTGTAAGTGTTACTATGGTTATATACCTAATGCTCACTCTGTAAGTGTTACTATGGTTACATATCTAATGCTCACTCTGTAAGTGTTACCATGGTTACATATATAATGCTCACTCTGTAAGTGTTACTATGGTTACATATCTAATGCTCACTCTGTAAGTGTTACCATGGTAACATACCTAATGCTCACTCTGTAAGTGTTACTATGGTTACATACCTAATGCTCACTCTGTAAGTGTTACCATGGTTATATACCTAATGCTCACTCTGTAAGTGTTACCATGGTTACATACCTAATGCTCACTCTGTAAGTGTTACTATGGTTATATACCTAATGCTCACTCTGTAAGTGTTACCATGGTTACATACCTAATGCTCACTCTGTAAATGTTACCATGGTTATATACTAATGCTCACTCTGTAAGTGTTACTATGGTTATATACTGTAACATTCCTTAATTTGATCACCATGGTAAACAACAGTCATGAGAGGTTGATTAATTTAAATGTAACAGGTTTACAGCACAGTAATGCCACTGTAAAAGTGATCATTTATGCAGGGAGTTATACAGGGATGCAAACATTTTGTGGATGTAAAAAATCATTTAAATGATGCAAACATTTTGTGGGTGTAAAAAATCCTTTAAAGAGATATTGTCGCACCATGTTATTTTCACTCTTTTACACTTGCAAACAATTTAGCCCCTTTTTCTTTTCACTTAGACAACAGAGATGTGTCAAAGAAATAATGCTGTTTTTCTTTTAATTAATCCTGTTTTAAATTCACTTACTTGAAATGATGGTGAAAGGGGCAAAAATAAAACGGGTGAAAATTTCCCTGTATACAGTATATGGTTATGTATTTTTTATGCTAGCATATATACATATATATAAATCCAGACTTTGTTTTTTGATTTTTGTTTTCTTTTTGTTTTTAGATAATACAGTAAGGAAATTGTGCTCTGTGTCCTTTTGGATCATAATCTTAGTTATAAGAGTGTGACATTACTTAACATAGCTAAGGAGTTGACCATATGATTTGGGGAGGGGGAGGGCTGGTTAATTTTTTTGAGACAGATTATTTATTTTCAAGATGATCAAGGACAGATTATAAAAAGGGGAAAACTGCCAAACTCCAAAACTCTATTTTGGGGATGGGGTTGGGAAGGGGGTAGTTGTACCAGTGAAGGACAGACAATTTACTTTCTTGCCAATTGAGGAAGATAACTTATGTTCAACTTTTTTGAGGAGAGATTATTTATTTCAAAAAACTTCCACCCCCTCCCCCTCCCGGAATCAAACAGTCATTCCCTTGGAACCAGAAGGATTATTCGCCCAGAGTTACGACTGCTGTCTTTGCTACTATGTGTTCCATTGATTTATTATAGTTTTCATTTTGGGGGAATTTTCTTCCAGATTGGCTGTAATGCAGTAAGTTGGGCTCCACCCATCAATCCTGGAGATTTATTGGACCCCTCAGGACGTCATCAACCAATCAAACAGCTTGTTTCTGGAGGATGTGATAATCTGGTCAAAATTTGGAAGTATGTTTTTTTTAAATTGTGATTATTTGTTTGTAGGAATTTCAAAAAAACAATGGAGGATTGTTGTACTACTAAGATAAATGACTTAAAATGTTTGTAATGTCCATGTTTTATGCGTCTTGATCGTTACTTCATAAATTTAAATTCTGAAATATAAGTGTACATACAGTAAAGCACGTTAATCACAGACATGAAAATAAGAACTTGAAAATGACGGCAATCAAGGTGGTGAATACTCTGAAGATACAGCAGAGAAGAGCATCAAAATAATGTGTCTTGTTTTACTCTATTGAAATGGAAATAGTATCGTACGAGTAACATTGCTCTAATTAATGTTAACCTTCTACTCTGTAGCTCTGGTTACTTGTCATGTCTTTCGGGGAAAATAATCAATTCCATTTAATATTCAGAAAATCTAATGTTATGTTTACATGGTCATAATATGAGAATGAATTGGACTCTTTCTTCAAACCAAGGGAGAGTCTTGGATAATAGAAATATTATCTCGGTACCACTTCTCCCTGCAATACAGGCTTGTAGCATTGTTTTTCATTGTGGGAAGACCAACAAAAGAACTAAGAAAAAACTAGAGGTACTGTGAGCACTGAGCTCACTAAATGACCCCCCCTCGCCTCCCATATGATTATAATGGCAAAGTCCATGTTTTGCCCTGGGAGACCCGAAATAAGTGTCAGATCAAAAAGTGAAATAGGAGGTGCACAATTGCACTATGTAACAAAGATGCTATGAAAGTCTCATTAAATTTCATTCAGTGGTATAAGAGGAGTTGCAGATAAGAGATAGGTACCCCAAAGCGTAACAGACGGACGGACGTACAGACGGACCACACCTCGATCACTATATACCCTCCCACTTTCGAAGGGGGAGGTATAAAAATAACATATGTAGGAGGATTTTTTTTTACTGCAAGAATAAGTTGTGTGTGTATTGTGTGTGTGTTGGGGGTGTTAAGGGACCTGTCTGTTAGGCAAATAATACTGATATTCCGGTATATTGTGCAGATAATATCGATATTCCGGTATATTGCGATTCGTTAACAAAAAAAATAGTAATGCGATATGTTTTTTCAGTACCAATGTACTGGCAAAATGTTTGGGCTTACGATTTATGATTCGCAGAAGTAAAATATAAAAGAACGAGTGCACTTATGGGCCCCGGTAAAATGTGAAAATTAAGCATAATTTTTCATCTCAGATCATTAATTGATATCTAAACCATAAGATTCAACAAATTTTTATCCGTGAAATTCATGAATATACAAAGAGCAAATCCTTACAATGTGGTAGGGGTCAGCCGACATACATGATTTTCTATAGTAAATCGAGGACGGTTATTCATTTCAAAGCTTTTGTTTACTGTCAGCCTAACGTTGTACAAACTTGTGCGAACGACAAAAAGCGCATTATACATTTATAAAACTTGTGTGAACGTAGGAAATTTGTACAAGATTAGGCTTGCACTTAAAAAGCTAAAAATGTATGAAAAGTTCAATGTTTTTCCTATAGCAAACGAGAGCTATTTACCTGTAAGACCTTTGTTGAACCCACCCGTGGAATAAATTATTTAAAATACCGGTAGTCACGTGAGTTCTACCCAGGTAAATATTCCTCAAAGGTGCTCACCGTAAAAGATAGCCACGTTCTGTATCATTATATCAAAGTTTTATGAACACGGGAGGGTTAGGAGAGTTTAGTGTCATTAAAATGTCATCATACATAAAAGGGTCAAACATTTTAAACATTCATGCAAGACAATGGTACCGGTAATGAAAGCCACCTAAATACACTTTTTTCATTTCAAAATTTAAAAGAACTAATGTTAAAACCTATTGTATTATTTCAAATGCAAGCGTGCAAATTTCTTAGTTTGAACACTATGGCTACAGCCATTTATACAACTTCGATATTTTTTTTCAGGTTAAATGGCGCAAGATTATCAATCGGAAAACGCGCCTGTCAATGATCCACCATCAGATTGTTCAAGTGTCTGATGTTGTCTCCTCCCCTTGATTTAAATAAACGAAACTCAAAATAGATTCGGTACGACTTTTCCGGATTTGGGGTATCTATAGGCATTTAAAAATCTTCATTTGTTTCAAATCCATGCTGATTTAGGTGATGTTTTACGTGATTTTAATTAGAAATATCCACTTGTGTTTAATAATTACCAAAAAGAACAATTTGGTAATATCTTCTAAAATAAAATGGCACTGAAAAAGGGCCCATTAAGCATTGCTTAAGTGCACTTCTCCTTTAAGATTTCAGAAACGTTTTCAACCGTACCAAACAGTAAAGGTTTCTGTTGTATGGTTGCATATCATTGCCAAGCTATAGTGAAATCAACTAGACCTTTTTTGTTAAAACGTATTTATAAAAGTTTTTACACACTCTGCTTATAAATATTACAGTACATATTGCAATACAGTTCCAAATATCGCAATACGAAATTTCCAACCGATACCCAACCCTACTGTCTGTCACTGAAAATTAATTGCAATATACAGTGAATCCTGTCTTATCCAACTTGCACTGAGAGACAAATTTTGTGTCGGAATAGTCAGGATGTCAGATTACACAGTGTGAAGAACATGGTAAATGGTAAAGAAAATAAAAGTCAGAATTCACAGTGAAACGGATTGTACAGGTGTCAGATTAGACAGTTTTCACTGTACATGTGTATTATTCTTTGTGGAAAAATATATTGAAGCAAATTTCTTCAGCTTTGTACAGATTAGTTGATGTAGGAATGATAAAACCTTGTATTGTACAGGAGGGTCAATGGAAGGAATTGTTGATGTAGGAATAATAAATCCTTGTGTTGTACAGGATGGTCAATGGAAGGAATTGTTGATGTAGGAATAATAAATCCTTGTATTGTTGAGGAGGGTCAATCTAAGGAATTATTGATGTAGGAATAATAAATCCTTGTATTGTAGAGGAGGGTCAATATAAGGAATTGTTGATCAATGAATAATAAATCCTTGTATTGTAGAGAGGAGGACGGTCAATGGAAGGAAGACCAGAAACTTGAAGGTCACAGTGACTGGGTCAGGGACGTGGCCTGGGCTCCCAGTATAGGTCTACCCAAAAGTATCATAGCAAGTTGTTCACAGGTATGTATAGGTCTACCCAAAAGTATCATAGCAAGCTGTTCACAGGTATGTATAGGTCTACCCAAAAGTATCAATGTAAGCTGTTCACAAGTATGTAGAAGTCTGCCCAAAAATATCATAAGCCTTTTCCAGGTTAATTACCTGATATTGTTACATCTTTTTATTTTGGACTGACAATAGGTAAAACATCAGTCGACTGGTCATGTTAAAGATTCATTGTAATAACCAGAAAATTTTGTACTGCCTGAATCATTGAGTGACATTGTCATATCTCTGATATTCAAAAACTATAATGTTTAGTGGTCACATCAAAGTTGGTAAACTGTACTTTTCTGAAATCAAATTTTATGAAACCAACATAAACTTTTCTTTAAAAGAGTGCTTGGTGTACGGGTATTTAAAAAAACCTAGCGAAAATTTAAGCATTGAATTCTTATTAGCTCACCTGAGCTTTTCTGATCACATTTTGTCTGTTGTCTGTCTGTCTGTCCGTCTGCCTGTAAACTTTTAACATTTCTGACTTTTTCTCCAGAGCCACTGGGCCAATTTCAACCAATCTTGCCACAAAGCATCCTTGGGTGAAGGGAGTTCAAGTTTGTTCAAATGTAGGGCACACCCACTTTCAAGGGGAGATAATTGATATTTGGTGAAAATTTGGTGGTATCTTTTAAAAATCTTATTCTCAAGAATCACTGGGCCGAAAAAAGTTGAAACTTTCATTACATAGTGCAGATTCAAGTTTGTTCAAATCGTGACACATGGGGATAGGGTGGGGCCACAATGCACTATCAGAGTTCAACATATGGATATATAGGAAAAATTCATTAAACATCTTTTTATCAACAACAGCAAAGCCATGTTTAGTCATATTGATATAGAAGTATCCTGAGGTAGTGTAGATTCAAGTTTGTTCAAATGACCCGGAAGGGTATGAAAGTCATGACACCCTTGTATAGGTTTGGGTTACAACAGGGATCAAAGTTTTACATAGGAAAATATAAAAGAAAAGATCTGCTGATGGAGAATAGCAGGGCCATATCGACTCAGGTGAGCAATGTGGCCAATGGGCCTCTTGTTTTTGGACTTTGTTGGTCCTATAACAGCGCCTGGCAATGCCAACAAATTGAATACTGCGCGTTAGCACTATGATAATTTGTCGGCATGGACAGGTGCTGTTAAAGGACCAACCACATCCAAAAGTAAGAATTCAATGCTTATACATGTATTTACATTCTCTTATTTTCTCTCTTCATTATTATTAATTTCGTTAATCTCTTTGATGAATTTAGCACCTTTCAGAACTGGTGTGCTTAATAAATTTAAGAACCGTTGTGATGTGAAAAGTTAAATAATGCAAGTGAATATTGTGAGGGAAAAAAGTGACAAATTAATTTTATACACTCAGTTGTTATGATTTTATGATAATTGAAAAGGGAAATTGTTTCTAGTTTTTAGCCAAACAATATCATTTTTAAGTTTCAAGTGTATTGAAAATGCATGTAATTCCCACTGTGTATTCTACCACGCAGCAACAAGGTTTTATGTGTTTGCAGGGTATTGAATTTTGTAGATTTCCAATGGATTTCATAAGAAAATTACAATGAATACAAATAAAAGAATATAATGTATGGAAGATGGAAAATTATGACATGCAATCAGAATTTTCATTAGGTCATTCTGCTGTTAGTTAAGTTTTTGTATTTGGTCCTGTAGGACTTGAAAGTTAAGTATTTATATTTGATCCTGTATGACTTGTGAGTTAAGTATTTATATTTGGTCTTATAGGACTTGAGAGTTAAGTATTTATATTTGATCTTGTAGGACTTGATAGTTAAGTATTTATATTTGTAGGACTTGAGAGTTGAATATTTGTATTTGGTCATGTAGGACTTGAGAGTTGAGTATCTATATTTGATCTTGTAGGACTTGAGAGTTGAGTATTTATATTTGGTCTTGTAGGACTTGAGAGTTGAGTATTTATATTTTGTCTTGTACAACTTGAGAGTTAAGTATTTATATTTGTTCTTGTAGGACTTGAGAGTTAAGTATTTATATTTGATCTTGTAGGACTTGAGAGTTAATTATTTATTTTTTGTCTTGTAGGACTTGAGAGTTAATTATTTATTTTTTGTCTTGTAGGACTTGAGAGTTAAGTATTTGTATTTTGTCTTGTAGGACTTGAGAGTTAGAATATATTTTGTCTTGTAGGACTTGAGAGTTAAGTATTTTTTATTTGGTTTTGTAGGACTTGAGAGTGATCATATGGACTAACGATGGTAATGGCTGGACACAGAAAGTGTTAAACAAATTTAACGACGTCATCTGGCATCTTAGCTGGTCCATCACAGGAAATATTCTGGCTACATCAGGGGGAGATAACAAGGTAAGGAACAAAAATAGTATTCTAGGGAATATATTCTCTAGATTAGGGGGAGATCAGAGAGTAAAATCAAATAGTTATATACAATGGCAATCTGCCATTATGAAGTATTAAGCAATGATGCCCATTTTAAAAAGTGCTGTTATAAATAGAGAATTTATGAAGGTTGTACATGTATATTCTTTAAAGATGTTGTTATTAATACAGAATTTATGAAGTTTATATGGGTATATTCTTTAAAGATGCGTTCAATGTTTTTTGCAATTTTCTTTGGATTGAAAGGAAATTAAATAAAAATAATGAATTGTGTATAGATAAAGCAAAAAAAAAATTATATTGAATATATTGTAACCCATTGTTGGCTTTGTGTTTTACAGGTCAGCTTGTGGAAAGAGACATTAAATGGGAACTGGGTGTGTATAAGTGATGTGAACAAAGGTCAAGGACAAATATCAGATGGTCAGAGGTCATTGTCATAGTAACAAGAAGCAGGCATTTTCCAGACTATTGCCGTGTTTACACATTTTGCTGATAAGAACCAACAGTGAATCAGATAATAAGAGATCGTTCATTATAGGCCTTAGAAACAGCCTTGAAACAAGTCTTTAAGGAATTGCAGCAGAGAAAACACTGTACTGATATGAATCAGTAAAAGTAATGCATTAATTCCCATAAATTATTTTGAATTACTTTTCTACACAATATTTGTAAGAATTATTTATAGGTTTTCAAAAGCAGACCAATAGATACACAGAAGAAAGCATCTAAATTATTGGTTTGATGCAATTTAAAAAAAAATTGTGTCAAGAAAAATTAAGAATTTGGAGAAATCATCTGCAAATGTAGGTTGAAATGCATTATGCTGTGTAATACTGTAGTATGAGTGAGAGAAAGGTTAAATGTGGAATGTAAGATGAATGAATAAAAGTTGAAAATTTTGAATTACCTGTCTTTGCTGTTTTATTATCAGAAAACAAAAGTTGACTTCTGTCATGCTAAATTTTTAATTTACTTGGTGGGTATATATACAGCCTTAGTGATAAAATGGTCAATTTTGCATAATTATACCAAGTGAATTTGAAAAATAAGTTGTGATTAACCATTACTCATATGTTTGCAAAATGAAAGCAAGAAGTTGCATCCTATTTACTGCATGTTAAACTTTATACTAAGTGCACTGAAAATTATAATAATTTTCGGTGCATTGTGAATTTAATATTCCATTTTGTAGTGTTATGATTTTATTAAATGTTACTTTTGGTGTATTGAACATAAAATTTATATTGCATCGTATTTGAGGTAAGGTTATTTGAATTTTATAGCATCTGCTTGGGCAGACATATTCACACTTTTGACCTCTAAGGCCATACATGTACAAATGATTACCTTTTTGTAGTTACCAGTGGTCTTCGGTCATGTAGAAATTGTTCACATTTTTAGCTCACCTCAACAAAATTGGAGGAACTTATGTAATACTGTCGGCGTTTGTGCCCCAGGTTAATCTTTTTGGAGCAGTTTTCTTCTTAGTCTTTCCATGCCCTATATTAATCCTAGTTGCATGTACTCTTTCATTGTACTATTCAGTATAAGATGTTTATTTTCAAATATTTTCTTATGACCAGGTTAATTTTTGGAGCAGGTTAAATAATCATTCCCAAGTAACTATGAGCCCTACCTGGACCAAACCTCATTTTATGATTTTTCTAGGGATGGACACTAATAGAAATGCTTTAGATGCTGGAATCTGATGCATGTTTCAAATGATGAACAATTTTTTTGATCATGTTCATTCTAAAGTAACACTAACAGTTTCTATAAGCCTTCTGTTAATCAAAGAACTAGGCTCAGTTGATCTATAAAATGGTCCTGCTCATATACCAATTAACTGATGAAGACCCAGTGTCCCTTTTTCAAACATCAGTACAAAGTAATAGACTTAGTGCTTTCATTTCCAATAGAAAAATTTCTTCTGGGAGTCAAGGTATTGAAAAACAGGCTTTGTGAAATTGCAATGTTCTTGAATTTTGAAGAAAATGGGTGTAGTTTTGAATACCTTCAGCAGAGAATTAAAATATGAGCCCACCCCTCAATCCAAAAAATAAAACTTGAATTATAATCTGATGAAACAGTTCTTTCATTATATAATTGAACATTTTTGACCAGAGGTTAGGGTCCATGCAAAATATAGAAAAACAGCTTCAATTTTTGGCCATATTTGAAGAAATGTTCAGGATTTGAGGATAATGACACAATTCATGAGTCATAATACACGGACTTGCGAAAAAATTATGTCATTCTTAATAGATATGCAGTCACCAAGGGTCCAAGTGAAATTTAAATGTATTTTCCACTAAAACTGAGCAGCTTTGATTTTTCAGAAATTCACAGGGCCAAAAAAGGCCCTAAGTGAGCGTTGTTCTTTGCATGTATGATGATTCCAGGATGTTCATAACCAGACATGCTTTGGATGCTGCATCTGACCTATATGGTTCAAATGAGTGAACAGGTTTAAGTTTTTGAGGCATATCCATTCCCAAAATAACTATTAGCCCTACCTGGACCAAACTTGCATTTTTGATGCATCTTGGGATGCACACTTCCAGACTTGGGGTAGACTTTACTTTACCGGTCCCCAGATCCGCAAGATCCGCGCGCTCATTGCACTATGACGTAAGATTTACGTCACTCAACTGATTACGGTTGATTTTGCACATTTTTCGACTGGTTAGGGTTCGTCTTGCACCCACCTGAAAAATTAGGGTTAGTCCTTGCATAAGTTTTCGACTGATTAGGGTTAGTCTCGCATCCATCCGAGAGATTAGGGTTAGTCCTCGCACATGGGTTAGTCTAGCATGGTTTAGCATCCGCCTTGGAGATTTGGGTTAGTCCTCGCATACCATCCGAGAGATTAGGGTCAGTGTCTTGTTCTTTTAGATTAATTAAGAAATTCAGTTGCATCCGTATTTTTTGCAAGATCTTTATTCAGCTTCAACGACATCTCGTTGGTTTGTTTACATGAAAAAAAAAATGGCCAAGTACGAAAGAAACGACACTAAGCATGCGCCGCACGCGCTTCGTTCACAATTATTTTTTTGTCTCCTTTTCACTGAATAAATAATATTTATTACTTTTTTCAGAGAACGAGGTTTAAAAACTTCGTTTAAAAACGAAGTTTGAAACTAAACTTTTAACCGTAGAATTCGATTTTGGGGTCAAAAAAGGCTTAAAACCTCATATTTTAATTTTTTTTCGATCGCTCACGCGATCTCATATATACTGAAGTCGCCTACGGCGACTCTATAGTTTAGCGCGTTTTTCTGGGGACCGGTAAAGTAAAGTCGTTCCCAGACTTGCATTGGATACTGGAACTGATTTTATTGTTTTTCAAACTGAATGACAGGTAAAATTTTTTAGAGCAGGTCCATTCCTAAATAACGAAAAGCCAAATCAGAAACTGAATTTGACTTCCAATGATGATTGAACAGAAAAAAAAGTTTTGAAGGAAGTCCGTGCACACTACTAGAACATGTGTTTCTTCTGTGATCTTGCTTTACATGCATGCATTCGTTGAGGTAAGCTTTATAATCTGTTATTACGTACCTTTGTTTGACTTCAGAACTGATGACTTACATTCGTTGAGGTAAGCTTTATAATCTTTAATTACCTTTGTTTGACTTCAGAACTGATGACTTACATTCGTTGAGGTAAGCTTTATAATCTTTTATTACGTACCTTTGTTTGACTTCAGAACTGATGACTTACATTTGTTGAGGTAAGCTTTATAATCTTATAATTTAATTTTGTTTGTATTCTAGCCTCTGATTGGTTTTAAAATATCCAAAAAGGAACACAAATTATTTCTGTATAACCTGGTTTGGTATGGGGACACCCCCCCCCCCCCTGACAACCAGCTGAATCGTCTGTATCCATGCAATCCTCTCATTTCCAGTCCTCGGGATTCATGGAAAATTCCAGATTTAATAACTTCAAACAGTAACTCGGATCTTACCACATGTAAACAAAAAACATGGCTGCTAGGACTATGTATCAGTTTTTACCTCCCCTCGCTTCCCATCACTTCCGTTACTAGGGTCGTATTATTGAGCGGTAAATTTGAACTAATAAAAAGCAACGAAATTTTACACCCAGAGTTGTTTAATGATTTTAGAATTAAATTATAAGGAATGACTCTAATTCTTGGCCAAATTATTCGAGGATAACCTGGTTTGGGTCAGTTTACGCTGTTTTATAATCCGCTTATAAAGCGTAAACTGACCCAAACCAGGTTATCCTCGAATAATTTGGCCAAGAATTATAGAGTCATTCCTAAATTATTACGTACCTTTGTTTGACTTCAGAACTGATGACTTACATTCGTTGAGGTAAGCTTTATAATCTGTTATAACGTACCTTTGTTTGACTTCAGAACTGATGACTTACATTCGTTGAGGTAAGCTTTATAATCTTTTATTACGTACCTTTGTTTGACTTCAGAACTGATGACTTACATTTGTTGAGGTAAGCTTTATAATCTTATAATTTAATTTTGTTTGTATTCTAGCCTCTGATTGGTTTTAAAATATCCAAAAAGGAACACAAATTATTTCTGTATAACCTGGTTTGGTATGGGGACACCCCCCCCCCCTGACAACCAGCTGAATCGTCTGTATCCATGCAATCCTCTCATTTCCAGTCCTCGGGATTCATGGAAAATTCCAGATTTAATAACTTCAAACAGTAACTCGGATCTTACCACATGTAAACAAAAAACATGGCTGCTAGGACTATGTATCAGTTTTTCCCTCCCCTCGCTTCCCATCACTTCCGTTACTAGGGTCGTATTATTGAGCGGTAAATTTGAACTAATAAAAAGCAACGAAATTTTACACCCAGAGTTGTTTAATGATTTTAGAATTAAATTATAAGGAATGACTCTAATTCTTGGCCAAATTATTCGAGGATAACCTGGTTTGGGTCAGTTTACGCTGTTTTATAATCCGCTTATAAAGCGTAAACTGACCCAAACCAGGTTATCCTCGAATAATTTGGCCAAGAATTATAGAGTCATTCCTAAATTATTACGTACCTTTGTTTGACTTCAGAACTGATGACTTACATTCGTTGAGGTAAGCTTTATAATCTGTTATAACGTACCTTTGTTTGACTTCAGAACTGATGACTTACATTCGTTGAGGTAAGCTTTATAATCTTTTATTACGTACCTTTGTTTGACTTCAGAACTGATGACTTACATTCGTTGAGGTAAGCTTTAATATGTTGACGGTGCGACCGTTGGGGCGAGCGCATTGTTCACTTCATTTTAAGATCCGCCTCTTCAAACCTCACGAGACATTTGGAACGTCTAGACTGTGACGTCACATGACGTATGTTAGCTGCATTTCCATAAACAAAGTTTAAAAACTGCACATATTTTAACAAAGAACGTTTAATCTACTATCTGCATGCAATATCCATTAAATTAAGGTGAGTTTATTTTTTGTGAAATTTTAGTTGTTGTTACCGCGTGAATGAAGTTAGCAGCGAGAACAAGAAGCGATGCATTGTGGGTCAGAATTACTGCAGAAAAAAAATTCTATTGAATGAATGTGCAGTCGTCCGAATTTTCTCTTCGCCCAGGCGTTGTCGTTAGAGCTCGCAGTGACGAGCGGCGCTTCGCGCCGCTCGCTGCGCTCGCTATAATCTGTTATTACCTTTGTTTGACTTCAGAACTGATGACTTACATTCGTTGAGGTAAGCTTTATAATCTTTTATTACCTTTGTTTGACTTCAGAACTGATGATTTACATTCATTGAGGTAAGCTTTATAATCTTTTATTACGTACCTTTGTTTGACTTCAGAACTGATGACTTACATTCGTTGAGGTAAGCTTAATAATCTTTTATTACCTTTGTTTGACTTCAGAACTGATGACTTACACTCGTTGAGGTAAGCTTTATAATCTGTTATTACGTACCTTTGTTTGACTTCAGAACTGATGACTTACACTCGTTGAGGTAAGCTTTATAATCTGTCATTACATTTGTTTGACTTCAGAACTGATGATTTACTTTCATTGAGGTAAGCTTTATAATCTGTTATTACCTTTGTTTGACTTCAGAACTGATGATTTACATTCATTGAGGTAAGCTTTATAATCTTTTATTACGTACCTTTGTTTGACTTCAGAACTGATGACTTACATTCGTTGAGGTAAGCTTTATAATCTTTTATTACCTTTGTTTGACTTCAGAACGGATGATTTACATTCGTTGAGGTAAGCTTTATAATCTTTTATTACGTACCTTTGTTTGACTTCAGAACTGATGACTTACATTCGTTGAGGTAAGCTTTATAATCTTTTATTACCTTTGTTTGATTTCAGAACTGATGACTTACACTCGTTGAGGTAAGCTTTATAATCTGTTATTACGTACCTTTGTTTGACTTCAGAACTGATGACTTACACTCGTTGAGGTAAGCTTTATAATCTGTTATTACCTTTGTTTGACTTCAGAACTGATGATTTACATTCATTGAGGTAAGCTTTATAATCTGTTATTACCTTTGTTTGACTTCAGAACTGATGATTTACATTCATTGAGGTAAGCTTTATAATCTTTTATTACCTTTGTTTGACTTCAGAACTGATGACTTACACTCGTTGAGGTAAGCTTTATAATCTTTTATTACCTTTGTTTGACTTCAGAACTGATGACTTACATTCGTTGAGGTAAGCTTTATAATCTTTTATTACGTACCTTTGTTTGACTTCAGAACTGATGACTTACATTCGTTGAGGTAAGCTTTATAATCTTTTATTACCTTTGTTTGACTTCAGAACTGATGACTTACATTCGTTGAGGTAAGCTTTATAATCTTTTATTACGTACCTTTGTTTGACTTCAGAACTGATGACTTACATTCGTTGAGGTAAGCTTTATAATCTTTTATTACCTTTGTTTGACTTCAGAACTGATGACTTACATTCGTTGAGGTAAGCTTTATAATCTGTTATTACCTTTGTTTGACTTCAGAACTGATGACTTACATTCGTCGAGGTAAGCTTTAATATGTTGACGGTGCGACCGTTGGGGCGAGCGCATTGTTCACTTCATTTTAAGATCCGCCTCTTCAAACCTCACGAGACATTAGGAACGTCTAGACTGTGACGTCACATGACGTATGTTAGCTGCATTTCCATAAACAAAGTTTAAAAACTGCACATATTTTAAACAAAGAACGTTTAATCTACTATCTGCATGCAATATCCATTAAATTAAGGTGAGTTTATTTTTTGTGAAATTTTAGTTGTTGTTACCGCGTGAATGAAGTTAGCAGCGAGAACAAGAAGCGATGCATTGTGGGTCAGAATTACTGCGGAAAAAAATTCTATTGAATGAATGTGCAGTCGTCCGAATTTTCTCTTCGCCCAGGCGTTGTCGTTAGAGCTCGCAGTGACGAGCGGCGCTTCGCGCCGCTCGCTGCGCTCGCTATAATTTGTTATTACCTTTGTTTGACTTCAGAACTGATGACTTACATTCGTTGAGGTAAGCTTTATAATCTTTTATTACCTTTGTTTGACTTCAGAACTGATGATTTACATTCATTGAGGTAAGCTTTATAATCTTTTATTACGTACCTTTGTTTGACTTCAGAACTGATGACTTACATTCGTTGAGGTAAGCTTAATAATCTTTTATTACCTTTGTTTGACTTCAGAACTGATGACTTACACTCGTTGAGGTAAGCTTTATAATCTGTTATTACGTACCTTTGTTTGACTTCAGAACTGATGACTTACACTCGTTGAGGTAAGCTTTATAATCTGTTATTACATTTGTTTGACTTCAGAACTGATGATTTACATTCATTGAGGTAAGCTTTATAATCTGTTATTACCTTTGTTTGACTTCAGAACTGATGATTTACATTCATTGAGGTAAGCTTTATAATCTTTTATTACGTACCTTTGTTTGACTTCAGAACTGATGACTTACATTCGTTGAGGTAAGCTTTATAATCTGTTATTACCTTTGTTTGACTTCAGAACTGATGATTTACATTCATTGAGGTAAGCTTTATAATCTTTTATTACGTACCTTTGTTTGACTTCAGAACTGATGACTTACATTCGTTGAGGTAAGCTTTATAATCTTTTATTACCTTTGTTTGACTTCAGAACGGATGATTTACATTCGTTGAGGTAAGCTTTATAATCTTTTATTACGTACCTTTGTTTGACTTCAGAACTGATGACTTACATTCGTTGAGGTAAGCTTTATAATCTTTTATTACCTTTGTTTGATTTCAGAACTGATGACTTACACTCGTTGAGGTAAGCTTTATAATCTGTTATTACGTACCTTTGTTTGACTTCAGAACTGATGACTTACACTCGTTGAGGTAAGCTTTATAATCTGTTATTACCTTTGTTTGACTTCAGAACTGATGATTTACATTCATTGAGGTAAGCTTTATAATCTGTTATTACCTTTGTTTGACTTCAGAACTGATGATTTACATTCATTGAGGTAAGCTTTATAATCTTTTATTACCTTTGTTTGACTTCAGAACTGATGACTTACACTCGTTGAGGTAAGCTTTATAATCTTTTATTACCTTTGTTTGACTTCAGAACTGATGACTTACATTCGTTGAGGTAAGCTTTATAATCTTTTATTACCTTTGTTTGACTTCAGAACTGATGATTTCAAATTTGAGAACCTACATTTCATTTATGCCTCTTCTTGAATACTTAGCATGTTGTAGTAGTTATAGCAGTTAATATTTTTGTGAGGAGTAAGGATAGCGGTTGGGTAGAACATTTACTGGACTCTGCAGTCATGAGTGTAAGGTTTTTCGTGACGTTTTGGAATCCAGCAAAGGTACGGTCACTCAAATTCACTTCCGTTGACTGGAATGTTTCAAGTATTTAGTGAAATTTAAAGAATTCCATCCTTTGAAAGGAATCTGTAGGTATACATTTGAAGAACAGATATGGAATTAAAGCCTAGTTCTTCTAAAATGTAGCTGTAATATAATGGGCCTTACAAAGATTTTATTGCAATGTTTGCATAGGTTAAATATGTAACACCACTTATGTGTGAGCCAATTTATTCGGAAGGGTACCCTGCACTGATGGTCGGATTCATTGCCGATGACGGGCTGTAGGTTAGAGTTTGATTTTTTTGTTTACCTCAAAGTATATGTATACGGTTTTTATGAGACGTGAAGATAATGAAACATTGATCATGCTCAAAAGTCTATTCAAACAGTACAAACTCTGAGCACTGTTTGATCAATTTATAATTAGAATCCCCTTAACCTAAGGATGCTTTGTGCCAACTTTGTTTAAAATCGGCAGTGGTTCTTGAGAAGAACTTTCAAAAATGTGAAAAGTTTAAAAATGGAACGACGTCGGACAACGGGTGATCAGAATAGCTCACTTGAGTTTTCAGCTCAGGTGAGCTAAAAAAAAAAAAAAAAGAGTTTAACTACCAGGACTACACTCTGTACGTTGGAAATAAAACTCTAAGTGATAAAGACTTAAAATTTGATACTTTAAACAATCATGAAATAATTCGATATTGTGTGTACCCTTATTTTTTTGAGATTCAGACATTTTTATGAGCATCTATCTGTTGTTCCTCCATCTGATGCATTATAACCGCTTCAACATTCACCACAAATATAATTTTAAAAAGGTCTTTATTACTATTTTTCGTTTGCGGGGAGGGGATTTTTTTAGTCCCTTTCATCTATACTCGTGTATACATCGTAGAGATTCTTGATCAATTTAAAATTAGAAAAAAATAGCTTCTACCGTAGTATTCTTTAGTTTGAACCTCTGATGGCCACGTTTTTCTTTGCTGTTTGTTTAACGTCCCTTCGAGATTTTTTTTACTCATTTTGTGATGCCATCACTTACCGATGGAGGGCTGCAAATTAAAATAAGATCTGTACTCGGCACTTAGGGCCTTTGAACATTAAGGGATCTTTTTCGTGCCAGTACCTACTGCGACACGGGACCTCGGTTTATACGGTCTCATCTGAAGGACCGGTCTCGGACTCCACGTCCCGCAGTGGGATTCGAACCAGTGACGTACGGATCAACCCCTTACTCCGTGGCGCTAGAGCTAACGCTCTAACCACTGCGTCACAGGGGCGACCCTGATGGATAAAAATACCTGACATATGTTAGGTATTACTATAGTAGAGGTCAATTGTAACAGGTGGTATTCCTTGTCTGATATTTGTCTGTAGAGTCGGGTGTGACCGGCCTATAGGGAATGCTTACTCCTCCTAGGCACCTGATCCACTACTTGTGTTTCCAGGGGTCTGTGTTTTCCCCTGTTCATGATTCGTTTTGTGTACTGGATTCATGAGATTGGTCGCTTTTCGTTAAATTCAAATTTTACTTCGGCAAGATACTTTCATAAATAAATTTATGTGAATCTGACACTTAACATTGGTCAATCTTTACTACAAAATATTCAAGCTTACTTTAATGATAAATGTAACCAACACAGTACACAAGAGTTGAGAGACAATTAAACAACACACGTCTTTGGTTCCATTTATTAGACAAGCTACGCAAAAGTTACATGATGAGATATTACAACTTAAATAAGAATACATGAATAAAAAATTGAAGTCATTCTCCCTCTTATAACAGTAGAATTACATGACTATAAGAAATCTTTAAAACGTTTTAGAAAGGTTCATTTCACTCCGTCCGCCAGTTGTCGTGAAAAATTATAAAATAGAAAAATTGCACGCGCGGAGCGGTATCCATGGACACATTACGTCATGACACAAATGTACACGTCACACAGTCAGAATGTCAAGGCTTGTTACACAGCATCTTTACAAATGATTAACACTAATTAAATGAGTACACGTTTAGTTATGATAACTTTGTTCAGATTCAGGAATGGCGACCTGTTTACATTATCTCCGCTACTTCCGGGAGCTGAGGTACCACTTATCCATTCCTTCAGTAAAAATAATGTTTTAAGAAACAAGAGATGGACCCACCCTTACATGCGCAGTAGAGTTATAGAGTAACACATATTCCCTTCTTCTTTTTCTTTGTTTGCAGCGCCGCCCTGGTGGCATTTTCGAACACTTCACGGACGCCCTCTTTTGTTTTAGCGGAGCATTCTAAATATCCATAAGCATTGATCTTTTCAGCCATGGCACGGCCGTCTTCCGGTCGCACGGGTTCCTGTTTCATCTTCATCAACTCTCGCTTCGTACTCTCGTCGTTTCTTAGATCTTTCTTGTTGCCTACTAGGATTATGGGAACACTGGGACAAAAGTGTTTGACTTCCGGTGTCCATTTTTCTGGGATGTTTTCTAAACTGTCGGGGCTATCTATAGAGAAGCACATTAGTATGACGTCAGTGTCGGGGTAGGATAGTGGGCGGAGCCTGTCATAGTCTTCCTGTCCGGCCGTATCCCATAATGCCAACTCAACCTTAAATAGAAATAAACAAGTCATCAAGGATGCTTTAAAGTTTATCAAAGACTTAATATATAAATTCATATCAACATTCCGTTCTCCAATTTACCTCTGTATATATATACAAGTTTTTTTCTTCGATAATACCCTTGATGAGTACATTCACTTGCATGGTTATATTACTGCAGATATCATCCGACTTTAAACATGTTAAAGTTTAATAAATTATTAATCTATTTTTTCATTATTATAGAAACATATGACAGTGTACATGTATTAAACAACTCAGTATCAATGACAGATACTTCTGTTCCTGTGTTTTGCAAATGTTTGACTTTATATATATAGTAAATGATGAACATGTGACAATTTTTACAGCTAGGGCATGTGACATATTACTTTTGAAAATGTCACTACACACGGGTGTTTACATGTCCATGTCATTCGACACCGTGACCTTGAACTTAAGGAAGCTCTAAACACTGCACACTAAAGAGTTCTATTTGCAGGGTAGTTTTATTAAGTTAGAGTGATCTGCCCTTAGAAGAAAAAATTAGAATACATGGAAATCTACAGTTAATGACACAATTTATTATGAATAAAAGTATTCTTAATGTTATGTTAGACCAAGATTAAGTAATTGAATACATTATTTCAATAAATTTTCCCGATGCAAGTAAACAGCAGTGATTTCTGTTCACAAATAGTTCATTGTCTTTGAACATTTTGTCTGCAGAAATAGGGCAGGTACCCAACGTTGAAAATGAACTAGATACACTGAATATGTTCACCTTTATATGATATATTTTTCTCAAAGTCCAAAAAGGATTTTTCATTAGTGTTTAGAGCTTCCTTAATTATATGGGTGTCTCGGTAATAAAATGGTGACCCTCTCAGTTCACGTCCCCGTGTCAGATCACGTGGATTTTCCTAAATAAATTGGGCGAGATTATGCAGAGCAACAAGGAAATATTTCTTACTTTTATAACAATTATTAAGTATATCATAATACGGACACACCCGAACGATCCGGAAGCGAAATAATCTTTATCATCTCTTTTATGCCTCCGCCACGGAAAATATACGAAATTTTCCAGTTTTGCTCGGGAAAACCATCAATGGGCTAAATGTCATTGCTGTTACAAGCTATGACGATATTAACAATTTTAACCTATATTGTACTGTAGTATAAAATCATTTGCATTTTGATTGGACAAAGTGTTTTTTTATTTGGGAGTATGTCATAATCTAAGGCTAACTGAAATTAATTCTACGTTTAACGCCACCTAAAAATTCAAAACCTACGAGGAAGGGAGAAAATGAAATCAAAATTTTCAATAGATTTCAGGCATCAAAATTTTTAGAGTATTTGAGTAATATGTATAGGCAATTTGTTAAATTATTTTTTTTAAATCAAATCTGTTTAAAAGATGGCCTCAGATGGCAAAATTTACTTCATAAGGGGACCAAATCACTATTTGTGTCAATGGAATGTAGTTTTTAAGTTACCATGGTTACAAACTGTTTTTTTTTTATTTCCCTATTCTATATGGACTTTTTTCCAAAATAATTTCTCTAAAACCAAAGTATTATCTTTGGATATCCTAATAAAGGCCCATCACCCGAGTATAACGAGTTTCTCAATTTTGCCCCACCTGGAGATGCACCCATACCCTATTTCTAATTAACAAGTTTACAATTTTAAAGATAAGATTTAAATACATCTTGAATATATGATCAACTTTACTCCACCCAAAGCTGTCATTATGCAGTTTGTTTGCTTATTATTCAGGAACAAATGTTTTTCAAAGTTTCCCTGTACAATAAATGTTCAATATATGCCTATCCTGAAGTCTTAACATGGAACCAATGACCCTGAATTTGATATAGAGAAGTAGCTCCTGATTATAATGCAATTTACGAATGTCAGTCCTGAACACAAAACAAAAACCCTAAATAAAGATAAGCACTTTGACCCCAATAAATGAACTCCCACTGCACTATAAATGCAATAGACAAAATTATAAGTTTCTTGTTCATCTTAATTTTGGCAGCATGAGCTACGTGCACCACGTAAAATAAATAATGAACATATCTATGACTATCTATAAATTCATATGCATGTTAGCTGGATGATATTTTGCATCAAAACTTTGATTCCAAACTGTGGCATTATAAAGCAGGAATCAGAGCCAAATAAAGATGTTGCATTACAGACGGCAGAACACATCCCCTCACGGCACACATCAACTAAACATTCACTCAAATTCTGTTAAGCAGAAGGACAGAAACACTAGACCACTGTCCTGATCCACAAACATGATACAAATATTTAATCACAAATTAGTTTTTTCCCCCTAACAGAAATACTATTAACTTCTTTTAAGTCCTTTAACTACAGAATCTTTTTTGTGTACCAGGAATATATATAGGATCTCCCAGGATTTGTGGTTGGATATGATTTTCATCCAATGAGTTATGTGGGGGGGGTTTTATCCCCAAGCCTTGCAAGGGGATAAAAAACACACAACTCTTTGGATAAAAATCATATACAACCAACAAGATGGGAGATTTTTTTTAATATATCACGTTTTATACATTACTATCTATGTTTTACACTGTTTTCATATATCATGTATAAATCCACATTATTTTACATCATCACTTTCATGCAAAACCCATTGTGACGTCACAGCAGTGGGATATGAAAAAAATATCCAATGAGTGATATCCACGGGATAAACAAGTGATATATATATATATCATCGAGTGTGGATGGCATTATTAATATGTACAAGTAATCACCAAGCAATATTGAGGCATTTCTTTTTTTTTATTATGACAAGATATGAAGAATTTTCTAATCATAGAACTATACAATGAAGCCATTACAGAAATAAAATTATATATACATACAGACCTACCACGCCTTAGTGTCACCCTGGATTTTTTCTTGTCTCTCTTAAAAATAAATGTCTCCAGAAAAAAATGACACTTTGTCCTTTCTGAGAGAACTCAATAAAAATTTCTTACTTCCCAAAAAATAACATCAAATTTAAACATAGTATCCCATTATACTATCTCCCCAAATATATGATACTTGACATGCAAATTTTTTTTGTATCATTCATTTTATTTTAGCTTAACAGCAATTCTAATGGCTCCATCAATAAAAGCAAAGATGAACAAATCTGTACAACAGCCCATTTAAATGCTCTTCAAAATCAACCAACTTTTCTCTGATTTTGGATTCAATAAAATACAAGGTCAGAAGACAAGGAGATACGAAGTCCGACATAAAATGTCTTTCATCTTCGTCTAGTATTAATAAGCAGGCTTTCAAAAGTTAAGTTTAGGATCACTAAGATTATCTGTATATTACATATGATACTGAAACATTGGTCCAGTGAATTTGTCGACTCCTGTCGAGGAATGCTTGTACATAACAAGGAATGTTCATACATGTATTAGATATTTATAAAACCACAAATAATTTCGCACTACTTTTTTTTAAACTAAAAGGGAGATAATTATTTATAATAACTTGTTAATTAACGAGTTTTCTTAAATTTTACATATGACTCAAATGCTACTCCGGCATCATCAATATCATAATCTTTTACCACATAAAAATTATATTAAACTTAAGAATAGGCATAACATCTTCCATACGTTCCTTCCACACATACATACATCTCATACATGATCATTTCTTTTACACAATAAGTAAGAAAGTGTTCTCCAGTATTCCACTGTGAGATTAACAGAAAACATGGTATCTTCTTTAACCAGCACCAAACAATCCTAAAGCAGACGACATTTCTTCCCTTTCTTCTTCTTAACTTGCAGTGCTGCTCGCGTTGCTGTTTCAAATACTTCTCTCACCCCCTCTTTTGTTTTGGCAGAACACTCGAGGTAAGCGAAGGCATGGATCTGTTCCGCCATGGCCTGACCCTCAGCTGTTTTGACCGGCTCTTGTTTACTTTTCTTGAGCTCTTTTTGTGTGTTAGGGTCATTCCTTGTGTCTTTCTTGTTGCCTACTAGGATTATGGGTACATTGGGACAAAAGTGTTTGACTTCTGGTGTCCATTTTTCTGGGATGTTTTCTAAACTGTCGGGGCTATCTATAGAGAAGCACATTAGTATGACGTCAGTGTCGGGGTAGGATAGTGGGCGGAGCCTGTCATAGTCTTCCTGTCCCGCCGTATCCCATAATGCCAACTCAACCTGGAAATGAAAACAGGGAGTACAGTCACAATTAAACAATAACAACAGACAACTAGGCATTACTTGAAATCTTATTTCTTTTCAAAATTTACATGTAATTAATAGAAAAAGAAACACAATTGTTTTGCAAATGAATTAGTTGACTATTGATAGACAACTTTACTACATAAATACAATTAACATACAAACTGTGCAAAACATGGTAATGCAATCAAACATATATCATATATGTCTTTTAATGTATCATGACCCTACAACACCATATTAAATGTCGAACTTATAAAAGCAACATGTACATTACAAGCATGCACAGATGAAAACTGGCACAACAAAGCCAACTAGGGTTTAACCCACATGTCCAGGGTAAAGCCATGATTTAATTCCCTGGAAGTGTTGTATGATGACTGTTGACAGTAAAGGGAAGGCACTAGAGTAACACAACACTAAGACACAGGGGCAAAGCATAAAGAAACACATGCTTCCGCAGACCCTAGGAAATTTTGTGCCAATAATAAACTAATCATAATCTGACTTAAGGTACGAGAGACAATATACACAGAAATAAACTTATAAGAAGCTTGAACTGACATTGTGTTAATTTAGTTACACAGTTCATCAGAAAGAACAACTTCTACACCTTTCCAAATGAAAACTACATTATATCCCCCCTCCCCATAATGATTCCCCCTCATTATGACTGAATCAGTACAATTATATATATGTGGCTTCTCATAAATCACATGGTTAGATAGTTACTCAGTCAGAAAAGTCAACATCTCAATACAAGTTTCTCCATTTAGTTTGTTTCAGGTTAAGGTTTACAGCTGTCATGATACTTTTTATTAGTACTGTTGTTTTCTTTTTTAATTTTTAGTACTTAGGGACTGGGGGCTGGGACCCTCAGAAGTTGGAATTTGTCAACTAGGCTAATTTGGGAATTTTCAAGGAAACCTAGTCACATGAGAAGACATATCTGAAAACTTTTTTTTTATCTTTGTATTACTTAAACAAAAATTGTTTATAACAACTCAAGACTTTTCATTGGTATGAATTGTTTAATTATGAAGAAATCCAATATGGATGATCAACAAAACCTGCTTGAACTTCACTTGCAATAAACAAACTGAATTTGATTACATACTTAATAAGTTTAGAAAAAAAGAACATTTTGGAAATATATAGGCATATTTTAAATTGGGACTGGAGCCAAAATTCAGCTCCAAATTGGCCCTAAAATCATTGTTAAGAGTTGTAAGTATACTGTGGATCGTACTGATCATTTTCCTCAATGATGCACATTTTGTATCATCATGATACTGAAAAGTAGGATTTAAACATTACAAAACTAGATAAACAAAATGGCATCTGAAAGCTTGATGACTGATGAAAATTAAGAAACAGGAATTTAACAATTTTCTTTGTTACATTGTGTTTAAAAACTGTATCATGGCACAGATTTATATTATGTCAGTAACATCAAATATATCATATTGCAAAGTCATCCACGATACTAAAGCCTACATTTTATTTCTTCCTTAAACTGACACTCACCATTTTGTACCATACAAACAAGAAATGGGATTTTTTTTTTACTTCATTGGCCCTGATCCCAATCTCAAATTTTGGAATGAAAATACTAGTGAGAATCCCAATGCCCAATAAGTGTGATAGATTTGGGGTTGTTAATCAAAAGGTTATTAGTTTGAATCCTAACAAAAACTCGTTGCTCTGTAAGTCAAATCAATTGTAGAGTGTAGATCAATACAAGTTTTAGTTGAAAGTTTAACAATGAACTGAACCTGCTTTATTACGTTTGATCCACTAAGCAAGTGAATACAATAGATATTATTGCCATAACATATAACCAAATGCTCAAGATTTAATGCAGCAATGTATTTACAATTTTTTTTTTTTTTTACATAAAATGATTATATACCCTTTACTTACAATTCTTTTTTTTTCTTTCTTTTTTTGCTTAATATTTTAAAACATTTTAAAAAAACAAACAAAAAAACACACACACAAAATCTTTTTGTTTTCATGTTATACAATTCCCTACATGTGTACAAATCTACTCACTAATATATTACACCATATCACATAACCTTATATGTCCAGATATATACTAATATACATTTACCTACATGCTGATATATTGTGTATTGTAAATGTCTCTAGTATGAAATGACTCCTCTAATTATTGATTTTTTTTTGTAAATCAGATTTTGTATTTGTCCAATAGACCTAGATAGTAAAGCTGTATCACGTTTGGAAAAAAAATGACTTCCTTAAAAAAAACTTTACACCTATATATGCTAAAGGGAGATGTATTCTTAAGTAAAAATTCTTCAAAATCTTTTTTTTTCCTATCATCATCATGCTGTCTTTTTAGAACCTGGAGGGGCTCAACATCAAAGTTTGTCAGATTGTCCAGTATATATGTGAAATTTTTTTACAGACAAGTGAATATTGCTGGGTACTTATCAGATTGATAAGTGAATTTTTGAGAAGGAAACTAAAAAAACAAGAATTATATACAGTGTATATAAAAAAAAAAATTAAGAAAGCAATGCATAGCAAACTTTGATCCCAATTGTCATGATGAAAATTTGAGTCCGGTTGTCAAACTCGATCAGGATTAATGGTCATAATACTTTCAATTTTGAAAATTGAATGCTGAGGCCTTAGTATAATTCATATAAATGCTGCTTACTCTAAAGACAAAAACATTATTTAAAGTAATGTATGGTGAATAAATGCTGTCCTTACAATCATGAATCAGAATGGATGCCACATTACTGGCAGCATCAGTCTCCTTTTTTTGTTTTACGGTCAACATAATTTTACTAAGATTCAGTCATCATCACATACACATATAAAAAGTAGATTGCAGAACAGATTAGGGGTGTGTGAAAAACTAAATAACAGATGCAGAAAAAAAAATAATAATCATGCTTTTTATATTACAAAATGAACAAGTTCCACTTAACACTGGTTATTCAATATTCCAATGATTATTTATATCTGGTAACAGAAAACAACAGATTAAGTGGAACATGCAGGACTAAGACTAAGCGAGAGTTAGACTAGAAATGGCCCACAGTTAGGACAGTGGCAAGCGAAGTTATGAGTGCAGATTCCCTCCAAGAAATAACAACAGTTTCTACAGACCATGCCGAGAAATAGAGACTCACCCTATAATGGTACCCCTGGTCTTCTAAAGCGACAGATTCGCGGCCCGTCCCCCCCGATAACGGGGGAGGAAAAAAGGATCACAAGAAACAAGTTGTCAAGTCGAACCACATTCCCGATTAGGTTCAATCCATTTAAATCAAAAAAGTGAAAGATAAATAGAGCAAACTAAGAAAATCTACATTAAAAATGAATAAATCTGAAACCATGGTCACTGTGTCAAATATTCTTGTATATTATACATATACACCGTTTGAAGAGCAAATTACCAAGGTGTGGAATATTACTGCAACAAAATCCCACTCCCCTGGATCCACCCATGAGGCATCTGAGGAAGCTGTGTGTCAAGGGGATAACCCTGGGTCTTACCTGCTTTCCATCAACTTCAATGTCAGCAACGTAGTTCTCAAACACAGTGGGGACATAGACTTCTGGGAACTGGTCCTTACTGAATACGATCAGGAGGCAGGTTTTACCACAGGCTCCGTCCCCAACGATGACCAACTTCTTCCTTATGGCTGCCATACTTCAGCAGAATCTGCAAATAAACAGTATGGAGTGAGATTATTACGATGTATTCTTATTTCTGCAGAGAAGGAGGTTAGGAGAACATTCAAGATTTATACAGCAAAAATTGAAAAGAATTTTAATGGACAGGCTCTGAGTTATATTTTGGTTATTGATCTGGAAAGAAAACTGCAGATAACTTGTACAAGGCTGACAAATCCGTAATACAAATATCTTACTTTACAACATTATAAAAGTCCCCCCATCTTCCATGACACATATCATTTGCACTTAAAAATTAATCCAGTTTTTTTTCTTTTTTTTTTTGCTTACCATGTTAACTGATTTGAGTGAATTCTGCATATTATGGAATGACTTTACCAGTCCCCTCCCCCCCCCCCCCCAAAAAATGCGCTAAAACACAGTGTTGCCATTGGGGACTTCAATATACATGAGATCATGTGAGTGATTGAAAAAATAAAAGGTATGAGGTTTTCGGTTTTTTTTGACCCCCAAATCAAATTCTTTGGTTAAAAGTTTAGTTTAAACCTTCGGTTTTAACCTTGTTCTCTGAAAAAAATAAATAAATTTTGTTTATTCAGTGAAAAATCGACAAAAATAATTGTCCATCAAGTGTGTGTGATGTTTATTTCATACTTAGCCATTTTATTTTTTTCATGTAAACAACCAATGAGATGCCGTTGAAGCTGAATTAAGATCTTGCAAAAAATACAGATGCAACTGAATTTCTTAATTAATCTAAAAGAACACGACACTAACCCTAATCTCTTGGATGGTATGTGAGGACTAACCCAAATCTACCGGTCGGATGCTAGACTAACCTATGTGCAAGGACTAACCCATATCTCTCCGATGGATGCGAGACTAACCCTTATCAGTCAAATACTTGTGCACGAACTGAGCCCTAATCTCTCAGGTGGGTGCAAGACTAACCCTGACCAGATGAGTAGTGTGGGACTAACCCTTACCAGCTGAGTGACATATACAGTCCCTGAAACGTTCTACTTTCCCATTTTTCCGTTCGCTCACCGTTCGTTCACCATTCGTTCAGCGTGCGTTCACCGTTCGTTCACCGTGCGTTCACCGTTCGCTCTCCGTTCACAGTTTTGCGTTCAGCGTTCACCGTGCGCTCGCGTTCACCGTTCACAAAGCGTTCACCGTTCGCTCTTCGTTCGTTCACTTTGCGTTCACCTTGCGTTCAGCGTTCACTTATCGTTCAGTCTTTATTGTCATTCGGAACTCCGAAGTGAAAGGACTTATCTTTTTTTAAGTAAGGATTTACAGGTTTTAAATTTAATAATTAACATATCGTGTTTAAAGAATCATTATTTTATGGGAAAAATTATCTTCAATATTTATTTTTATCATTCTTACTTAGCTGTTAGATTATTTATCAAATTTATCTGGAAAATAAATGTTGTTATAAGTACATGTATGTACCTATGTAGAACGATGGTGAAAAATTAAATTCAAATACGGGCAATATACATATGCTTCAATCACTGCAACATATTGTTATTATGTTAAAGACGACAAATCGCTAATGGATTGATAATAATCGAAGTCAATTAATTTACCAACTGCAGCAGAAATACGAAAATATTTATTTCTAACACATTTTTTTTTCAAATAATACAGAAATACATGTTAGAACTAATTCTGAGGATTATAAACAGTACTGTGGATATCCAGTTTATTAAATATCTTTAGAGCGAATTAAATTGATAGTGTGGATTGAAAAGAAAATTGTTTAAAAGGTAATACATTACAGATTTTTTTTCTACTATACATATATAAAGTCTTTAATTAGAGAGAGAGAGAGAGAGAGAGAGAAATGCCTTTATAACATGATTATCATTAATATAACCAAAGTGATTCTCCAGTAATGATATTTTTCACCGTAACTTTATATGTTTGCCATTCGATATGATTAAGAGCCCCCCCCCCCCTTTCCCCTAAATCGGTTTCTTAGTTAGTACATGTATGTCCAGTATATTTTAATTAACATTTAAAAAGAAGTTAATGTGTTTTGTAGCACAAAAATTTCAGTCTCAAAACAAACATGCATCTAAACAAAGTCATTAAACAATTTAGTAGTTCAAAATATACATGTGCCCGGGGTAATATTTTAAATTGGCAGGGAATATGTTTCAAATTCAAGCGGTTTAATCATTCCAAGTGTTTATTCCCAATGTATTTTATTCATTTATTATTTTTTTTTAGAAGTGTTGGAATCAGACCTAGAAATAATAAGAAAAAATGTTTAACTTAAAACTTCTTGGGAATACTGACACCTTCGGTGTGACGAGACGTTCACACCTGCACAATGTAATGATTTTGATTGACAGGTCAAGCACGTGGACTTCGTGTCAACTTGAAGCAGGGAAATAAAAACCGTTTATGACTGTTAAACAAATGGATTTGTTGATAAAAATGGTTACTTTCATTGCCTGATATATTTGGAAAAAAAAATTAAGAATTTTTGATATAGGTACAAACATTTGAGGAAGGGGGGGGGGGGCTAGAACCAAATCTCTCTCTCTCTCTCTCTCATTTGTCTGTTTAATAAAACTATGACAGCATATCACTTAAATATCAAGTTGTGAAAATTTAATATATAACAAATAATATGAATGCCTCTTTGTATCATCGTGTCCGAGTATAATCACGGCCTGGAAATGTCTACAGATACATGTATAAGTCTGCTCAATAAATCATCAAAAATAAAACTGACACATAAATATATTATTGCATTAAAATTTTAAAATACGGGCGTATTTATGCAATACGTCCACATACCTTTGTAAAATTTTTTTTTCCTCATTTTTTACACGGAATCGCCTTGGCACGGAAATATATATATGGTTGTTACAACCGTTGTAATTCATTCTATAAGTCCGTAGTTTCCTCTTCTAAAATCCACATTATTTGTAATGATTTTATATATCAAATAAGAATAAACATATTTATTTTACAACTAGATTAATTTTATCTTTTATACTACAGCGTTCGGTAACAATTACAATGTTTTACAGCGATAAAAATCGTGTTGTTAAAAAGTTGAATTTAAACATCGTACATATGTGCAGAAAATATTGTAAGAAACTTAAATTAATAATTTTACTTAATGTGTATGTATTACAATTTTCATTGATTTGTTTATTTATTTATTATTCATTTATTTTTTAGCACCATGCATACATACAATAGAATAGTTTGAATGTAAGGAAAAGATCAGAGGCATTCCGAATAAATCGTTCATCTTGCGTTCACCGTTCGTTCACTGTTCACTTTGCGTTCGCGTTTGCGCTCCGTTCGCGTTCTGCGTTCGCTCACCGTTCAGCGTTCACACATCGTTCACCAAGTTGCGTTCAGCGTTCACACATCGTTCACTCACCGATCGCTCTGCGTTCGTTCAGCGTTCGTTCACCGTTCGTTCAGCGTTCGCTCACCGTTCAAGTGGGAAAGTAGAACGTTTCAGGGACTGTATCTTACGTCATAGTGCAACCTGGGTACCAGTAAAGGCTACCCCAAATTTTCAATGTCTACATTTAAATATCAAAAAGAAAGAACTGGCAAAGAAAGGAAGGGATGAAACTATACCAATCCTGAAAGTAGACCCAAAACACTGAAATGGGTTGTATATTTTTATCTAGATCATAAAACTTATTACCTTTGAAACTCAAACTGAACCACATCTTGATAAATGATGTCTAAATCATAATGCCACCCCTTACCAGGATTCAAAAGCAAAAACACGAGTCAGATCTTTGTAAAACTTGGAAGGTCAAATTTATAAACAGGAAGTCTGGATATGCGACAAAATGATGTTTATACCAACACTTAACCATCGTATAATTAACTTCTGACTTTACAAGAAACAAATAATTGTTAGGAAAGTTGGATACATCATGACCGGCGCTCCAAGACGATTTGATTTTGTGTTTCCCCCGTTCCTCCTTTTTCACGACCGACGTCTACTTTGCATATTGCAATGGCGGAACAATTCGCCATTTCTCCCCCACAAACAAACAAACCTGTTATTCAGCAATAACTTCCACATGAATCTCAACATTGCAAGTAGAAAATAATCGTTTCACTAAATTTAATCAACATTTCATACATTAAAATAAGAAACACACAAAGAAATCATGTTTGTATTTTAAAGTTGCATGTGAATGCCATATACGGATATAAGCCATTTCACACGACTTCTGAGCTTAAATACACATCACACCTCTGAGTTTGGATCATAACTTGATTATTTCATTAAAATCACTTGTACTCTTACCTTATTTACAAAATATCTAACGTTTTTCTATAGCGAGTCTACCATTCGAAGCACTGAGTCATTAAACATTCGACCACACCTCAATTGCTTCCTAGAGGGGGATAGCACAATTGAGGAATTATGGGAAATTTAACGGCTATCGGGAAATATCGGTACGTACGATAATATCCGAAATGATGACGAGTTTTCACGATTCCACCTTCGGTTGTTTACGAAGTTAATCTAGTTCTCTACCAATTTAGACCATTTTAATATGAAAATAAATAAAATGCAACATTTACTGGAATAACATACCTTGTTGTTCGAAATATATCCAATAAATCTCCTTATCTTAGCTGTTTGGACTCGAAAAATACCATAAACACGGAGAGAAACAATTTATATCACGAATAATTCAATCTCCAAAAATAAATTTTCTATAATAGCGTTGATTGGTCAACTATTTTAAGAATTTTTTGCTAAGTCTAAAATTAGAGTGTAACACAATTTTGAGGCGGATCTAAATTTAGAAAGAAGTCATTTGCGGATTTAGAAAAGTTGGGGGTGGGGAGTGGGCACCTCTCCCCTTTGTAAAAAAAAAAAAATATGCATACGATAAGATATTCCAGTATATTATTCTACAGTGGAAAAAATACATTTCAATTTATCCCTTTCCAAACAATAAAGTTTAGGCAAATTAAAATTGTACATAAAAAAGCAATAACGTAATAATTTGTTTTGGGAAGGTATCCGTACCAGCTATTTTCAAGGATTTGGTAAATTAAGTACATATATTTCAGGAGCGAATCCAGGAATTGAAGTTAGGGGGGAAGTAAGCAGGGGGTCTGGGGGCCGCCTTGCTCCTGGATTCTAGAGATTTTGTAGGGTAGAAATGAGGTCTACCGAGTAGATATTTTCTCGACGAAACTATGATTTACGCTAACTAAACGACAATCGGGGGGGGGGGGGGGGGGCTTAAATCCGCCACCGTATTTTAATTATGAAGGGTCATTCAATTTAGAAAAATAACTGAATTTGAAAAATCGGGACAACAAGGTATTTTTCAAAAAAATCAGAATTAATATTTTATCATTGTTAACCTGTTTATAAGGATTACAGGTGTATGTGAACTTGAGATTCCGAGTTGGGTGCTACTATGCCAACATCTAATTGAAAATTTTAATATACTATTAAGAAAACAACATACATGACAATAAATCAAGGTACATGTATATTACATGTATAGTCATCATACATATACCATTTGTATGCATTTTATGTATTGTTAGAGTTGACGGCTAATACAACTGTTTTGTTTTCTAATCTTTTTTTTAATCTCTCTCTCTCTCTCTCTCTCTCTCTCTCTCTCTCTCTCTCTGTGTGTGTGTGTGTGTGTGTGTGCGTGTGTGGGAAGGCCATATTGGGGACCTTCGACAGATACGCAAGTCGTAAATTGGGGACATAAAAAACATTGGGGACTTGAATCAAGTCCCCAAACTTTTTTATCGTTTAAAACGAAAAATTGACATGTCTTAATCCTAAAAAAGTAAAAAAAATAACGTGTCCCAGTTTCGGGGTTTCATCGAACACATGATTACACAGATATCGTGCGGATTGAAGTTGCCATCTTCACTTACACACCTCTGACGTTACACACATCTACAATGCGCATGCGCGTGTGTAAAGAGAGCGGAAGTCCAATTGTTTTGAAGCGGGATATAATAAACATGTCAAAAAAAGACGCAGAGGAAAGCCTGGGCAGAGAATCCCAGATTCTTTTGATGAGGATGGATTCTATGTTAAAGAAACGGTGGAAAACGGTATGTTTTATTACTTGTTCGATGAAATATGGTGTATAGAAACTTACATCAAAGTGTAAGGGGGGGGGGGTCAGTGACGATTGCTGCATATCGGGTACTCTGTTGAAATGAAAAGACAGTTCGTATTTATGTGATAATTTTCTTTCTTGGAATAGTACACAATGTATGCTATTCATTTCACAATGATTTAAAATTCATCAAATGAAAGGTATAATCGAATGTGTTGTGTGTGTCATTTCAACAAGAAATGAACTTCACTTATTTTTGTAAGATTCAACTTAACTAAATTTGGTCCGTGTTAATTGGAGATTTTGGAAACGTAGTTCACATATATGTTTTTTTAGCCAATAGTGAGATCAGATTGTAACCCCCCCCTTTCTTCTTGAAATCTGTAACCTCTTACTTGGTTTTTTAGCCAAACGTGAGATCGGATTGTAACCATCACCCCCCTCCCCCATCCCCCTTCTTCTTTAGCTCAGCAACCCATTTCTTTTCTTTTTTTTTTTTTTTTTTGTTTTTTTTTGTTTTTTAATTTTTTAGCCAAAAGTGAGATCTGATTGTAAACACCCCCCCCCCCTTCTTCTTGAGAGCTGCAATCTATTACTTCCTCTTATTTCGTGTTATGCTTAGAATATAATATGATTATCAATTTAACTTAAATTTAACTTATGCCTATAATATATAGACATCATTTCATTTGTTTTCAATTGAATATTAATGGTTTCACAACTCATTAAATTTAGCTTAAAGCCTTAAGGAGGATATTCGTGGAGCCAGCTTGAATATATTCTGATCTGCTCTAATGCCCTGTTCACATGGAAAGTTTTATTTGCAGCAAAATAATGCGAATTAAACTAATACAATTAAACTAATGCAAATTAAATTGCATTCAAATGACAGCTAATGCGAACTAAACTAATGCGAATTAAAATTTAATTTCTACAGTAAGGCTATTTAGTCAGACTATTATGACATTATTTTCAAATCACGTCACCTTATGCAAAGAAGATCCATTTGACAGAATGTAATAGGCTAATACCTGTACACATTTCATTCACATAATTTTCCTTTGTTTTTCACTAAAAAATAGCACAAGCATCTATAATAGCTGACCACCCACATGTGCATTTACCTTACATTTGCCATTACACTGTGATGCATCAAGTCGCCCACGTGGCTTTTGCTCTAGAGTCATGGAGTAAGGAGTTGATCCTTATGTCGCGGGTTCGAATCCAACTGTGGGACATGGAGACCGGTCCTTCGGATGAGACCTTATAAACCAAGGTCCCGTGACACAGTAGTAAGTACCATAAGTACCGAGTATATGACAAAATTTGCAGCTCTCCACCAGCAAGTGGTGGTGTCTCCATATGTTTGTTTGTTTGTGTGTTGTTTAACATCCCTCTCAAGAATTTTTCACTCATATGGAGATGCCGCCACTTGCCGGTGGGGAGCTGCAAATTTTGTCCTATACTCGGCACTTACGGCCATTGAGCAGTGAGGGATCTTTTTCGTGCCAGCACCTACTGTGACACGGGACCTCGGTCTATACAGTCTCATCCGAAGGACCGGTCTCCACGTCCCACAGTGGGATTCAAACGCACAACGTAAGGATCAACTCCTTACTTCGCGACTCTAAAGCAGACGCTCTAACCACTGCACCACGCGGTGTCTCCATATGAGCGAAAAATTCTCAAGAGGAATGTTAAACAACATACAAACAAACAAACACATGCATCAAAATTTAATTCGAATTAGATTAGCTTGAAGCGTTCAAGCAGAGCTAATGCGAAGTAATTTAATGTGCAGTAAATTAACTTACGTTTAATTTGAATTAAACTCTCCATGTGAACAGAGCATATAATGATGCCCTGTACACAAGGAGAGTTTAATTTGAATTAAACACGTCAAGTTACTGTGAATTAAATTTGAAGTGCATTCACATGGAGAATTTAGTGTGAATTAGTTTAATTCAAATTAATTTACTGCACATTAAATTACATTGCATTAGCTCCATGTGAACGCTAAGCGAAGCTAACTCGAGTTAAATTTTGACGCATGCGTAGGCCAGAATTAAGGCACAGGCCACATGTCAGTGGTTAGATTTATGTATCTGTGCTATTTTTGGTTGAAAAAAAGGAAAGTAATGTAAATCACTAAAATGTATACAGTCACTATGATTATTATGTTATGTCAAATGATCTGCTCTGCATACATGACATGATTTACAAATGATGTCATAATAGCCTTACTGAAAAGCTATCGTAGCCTAGAAACAAAATTTTAATTCGCATCAGCTTACTTCGCTTTTGCTGTTATCCGAATGCATTCTTATTCGCATTATTTTAATTCACATTATTTCACTTCGCATTAATTTACTGTGAATTAAACTCCCTGTGTGAACAGGGCATTAGACATATAGCAAAAGGGATTTACTAAATACAACAATGACCTACCTCAATGTTACTCAAAATGCACTTATTATCTAGTGTTAAAGAGCAAAATAATTGAATATTAAGTTATTGTTTTCATAATTGTTTATATATATAAAAGAAACTCAGGGTGAAGCATCCATTGATTAAAAAAGCTACCACATTACTGATATGACAGTTCAATTCATTAAGTGACAATTATGTTTTCCACATTTTTTCTTAATTATTATCATTTTACAGCATTCCTTAAAAAATCACATTGCATGGTCTCTCTAAGGTCATGTGTTAGGAATAAAAAATTTCATTCAAAAAGATAATATGGATGAAAACATCTTGTACAAAATTTATTAATGATAAAGTAAACATTTATCACATTTTCACTGTCAAACCAGCCTTATTTGTCATTTTCTCCAAATTGTGAGCCTTTATATCTCTACTGACATCCAGTACAAAAAAATGAAAAATGAAATTCCCAAGAATAAATATATATTTATCCCAATTTTTATGTGAACACATTAATTTCAATCTTAAACAATCTTATGAAAAAAAAAAACAAAACAAAACAGAATATAAATATAAATACCAATTTAAATTGTTATGAAGGAAATATCAAATCAGGTCATTATACCCCAAATCTCACATGTACTCCTGTCATTTTTATTATGTCCAATAAAAATTTTATATATTTTATTTTGCATTTCGCCATGATTCTTATAGAGAATAATAATTTTATTATTATTTCCAATAAAAATGATATTGTTTGTGCACCTAAAAACTATTCATTACAATCAGTCAGGACATTGTACTATAAGGACATTATACACATCCGCTGTAAACAGCTTACTCAGGTAAGGCATAATTTTGGGCAAGAAAAAATCGCATCCTTGTTTGATTCCTTGAAATGAATGTGTAATTATGTTCTGCAGACTTGAAGTCTTTCTAAAGACACACAACATCTGCGCAATTTCTTGTCGAATGTTTTATATCTGTTATTACGACAGATAAGACTTTCCGAATTGCCTAGGTTTCTTATTTCAGCTTTTTAGCATGTTTGGTGTGTTTGTTTATATACGAACAATTTTTAAATTAAGTTCTGCAAAGTTCATTATAATTGCATATCATATGATTCTTTTTAAAGCAGGCCGGGTGCAATGTATTTAATTTTTGTATCCTAATCTTTTCAATCAGACATTTGACATGTATTGTGGCAGATGTAGTTTATTTACGTTTTCTTTAATCATTTCATTTCGATCCCGATGTAAATTATTTATCTTATATGTGGAAACGCCCACTTTCGTCCAGTAAGTTCTTTGACAGTTCCTTTTGTTCTCATTTCCATATAAAGCTATGCAGCTAGCTATCAGATCATCGGGGAGGGAGACAGCTGACTTTGCTAGCTACACTCTTCATATACTGGAATCATTTTCTTTTTTGTCTGTTTATATTGCTTTTATAGTGTAACATGACTGTCTAGGGGTCAGTCCCGTACATAATCCGAGTTCGGGAGGATGAAAGAAAACAAGAATTTCAGTGTTTAAAGACTGAAGAATTAGATTCTATATTCTGTTAAAATAACAATCATGTAAATCAAACGTAAAACATATTAAACAATATCACCTATGATCCAAGAGTGTGATAATTACCATTATTGTAGATAGAAATTTAGCCTCGATCCTCGAAATATGTCTAATCTATAATCAATAATAATATCGACTGCTGCTGATTATACACAAATGCATGTATAATATGACAACAATAAATCCCGGCCGGGTACTATAGACCTGGGCGTGCCTAATCCGGACGGGTTATAAACAAGGGGAATAACTCCATATAACAAGTTAAGACAAATAGGGGAAATATGAATGAAATATGTCACATACAGATAAATAAATATATACACACATAATAAATACACTTCAAACCATCACAATAGATTAATATTTGGGTTAAGTTAGGCAATATTTTGGTTGGGGAAATTAGGTTTCCACATTGTACATTAATTATAACAGTTTTCTGTTTTCTGTAAGACTAGTAATAAATTTGTAAGGTCGGTATACCAATATCGAATATTGAACTAACAGAACAATACATAGAATCACGAGTACCTCGCAGTTATCTTACTTACTATTGCTCTTTTGTGGGGGAGTCGAGGAAGCTCTAAATCTCGCAAGATTTCTGGGGCATAACATTGTTTACAGCAGTGACAATCAAATGATTCGAACAATAAGCAGTGATGAGTATGCAGAAAGTACAATGTATTGCCAAGGATTGAACTCGAAATAGTAGCTATTTTGTCAAATAAGGAAAGTTTAAAGTATTTTATGAACTATAAAAAGTAACGATTTTCAATGAGAATTTCATGAGAAGAGTCCGCTTAGTGAAAAGTTTCACTAAAAATGTAACATTTGAGGATTAGCTCCTCTCTCAGATTTATTAGGCTGGTTCAGCATATGTTTAGCAAGATATTTCACCAGGATTTCTTTCTTATAAATTCCACAATGATCGATCTTGCATTGTATTCAATAGCACATTTGCCCCAATCCAACAGGCATTTCCTACCTCCACCGCAAAAGAGTTCTGCTAAGTTAAGTATATGCAAAATCAAGTATTGACTTTTTCATCAAGTTGTGTGCAATAATCATTGAGGATTTGTTAAAGAAAATTTTTGTTTGTTCCCTTTAAATCCTACAAACTGAGACCCTTTTCGATGTAAATTGTAAGTAAACAGTTATGATAACAATAATCATTGCGAGTACAGGGAGTGGCGCAAAGCCCCACTCATCACTGGGAGCTCTTAATACAATGCGTGGGTGAAGAGAAAATTTGGACATTGCACATTGATCCAAACAAATTTTTTTTCCACAGTAACTTCTGGACCCACAATGCATTGCTTGTTAAATTACCTTCTCACAAGAATAACAACAAAAGTTCAACAAATAATAAACTCGCCTTTATTTAATGGATATATTGCAGATAAATAGTCAATAAAACATTCTTCATTAAAATAAGCACTGTTCTTTCTTCAGTTTAATGGTAACGAAACTTACATACTACATCATGTGCCGTCAGAGTCTAGACGCACCAAATGTCACGTGCAGTTTATAGAGACAGGCCTAATTACAATGATAAACAGTACACTGAAAAGGTATCTGCGCTTGCCCTAACGGTTGCACGATTAACATTTTATGATTGAATAATTCTCAGGTTTTTGATTGTCTGATAGCCAACATTTTAGAAATCAAAAAATGTTATACTGTAGACGTATTACATTTGGATGTGTATTTTTTTAGTGCCTTTGGCTGAAAGAATCTTCTGTTAATTCAAGTACAATGCTAAATGTCTTGCAGCACATAATTATTCATGATTAAGAACATTAAGAAATGTGCTAAATCAAATCTAAGCTAACTTGCTCAAAAGTTAATTTCCCTCAAATATCGTACATGTACACGCTATATAGAATACATTTACAGTATTCACCTGCATGTTATCTTCTAGATGAATATTATTGAATTCATGTACAATTACTGACTTTCGATGAGGTCTACTCATTACTATACAGACCTGGTCAGGTATTAGTTGACTGAGACCGAAAGCTATTCAAAAGTCAAGAGCCGTTTAGTTCTTGTCTCCAACAAATATAAACACTCATGATATAATGCATAGTGTAACTTAACACATTATAATTGTAATTGATCGATAGCTTAACAAATGTTTAAAAGTGGAAAAAAAATATTAAACAACAGATACTCAACTATTTACTCTGTATCTAGCATGTTAACATTTAAAACGACACATGTTTTAAAAACATGCACTTTGATTGGTCAAAAATGTTAGCAAATCTATAAATAAATAAATTCAGAATTAGATTTATGAAATTTTTTTGTTAGAATGTTTGAGGCAAACAGAAGATGCATGGAATCCCCCCTGAACATAGAGACAGTACAGTTACATGCATTATCAAAGCTGGATTATTAGGTGCTACATTTAAACTCAACCATAAATATTTGCTTTTTTTTAAGGTAATGAAATATTTCAAACCGAATTTGTTGTATCATTCAACATTTAATGTCCTGTATTGCTTTTGTTGGTGTAGTGTGTATGTATGTTGTTCACCATATATCGGTGAAGGGCTTCAAATTTTGACCTTTACTCGGCACTCGGGGCCATTGAACAGTGAGGGATCTTTATCGTGCCAACGCCTGCTGTGACACAGGGCTTCGGTTTTTAAGGTCTCATCCGAAGAACCCGCAACTTTCACTTCAAAGTGCCGAGCGCATGGCGAAGAAACAGTTGCTACCCATTTTTTATGGACTTAGGTCAGTCGCGGCTGAGATTCGAACTCACAACCTCCTGATCACAGAGTGAGCGCTCTACCAACTGAGCTACCATGAACGGTCTTTTGATGTAGTAGTTATAAGCTTCTAAAGCATATTGTATTCAAAGAAACGAAAAGAAATTAAAAAATGAAAAGTAATTTATGCTAATTTTAATAGCCTACACTTTAAAAAGATTTCTGTATTTCCCCCTCTGAACTGTAGAGATTAGACATGTCAATTGATATACTCTATGTTATACAATTCAGTGGTTAACGATGCAACATAAGAATTCAAGTGCATAGTGTTGCCAAAGTACCTGCAGAAGTTGTAGTAAAACCTTCAGGAGTAAAAATATCATTTTCATCCTCTTATTTTCATACTTGATTGCCAAAGCTTAATTATGACTTTTATGAAGTTTTTCTTTCCAATTTAGGTATACAGAGATCCCTTGAAGAAATAAAGAACAGCTTTTAATTAGAGAATTCTCTTTTAATACAGTTACAAAGCTGTCAAACCATGATTAGTAAAAAAGATGCAAGGAAATTTGTTTACAGCCTTCCAGGTAATAATAAAATAATTCAATCTTCCAAAAGAGATTTTATCTCACTCAAGCAGAAGACTCAAGTGAGCTTTTCTGATCAAAAAGTGTCCGATGTCTGCCTATCTAGCTGTCTGTCAACCTTCTGTCCATCTGTCTGTCGTGTTGCTGCAGAACTGTAGCTCTCCGAAAAAAAAAATATATTGTCAGACCGGAGAGCTACAGTGCCACCCATTAAAAAAATGTGTATATTTACTGCGCGAAAAAAAAAAGTAAGCAGAATCTCGATTTATTTCTCTGTTATCAACTGCAATCTAAAAATACTATTAACCCTGTGTCTCTAACATATTTTTGCACTTTTTCCACAACAAAACACTCTTTACAACCATTGTTAATCATATCAATAGCCCTCCTGGGCCTGAAATTGAAACCATAGAAAATTTTGTCTATTTATTCTGCCATCCTTGGTGGCAAGGTAATTCGGTCCAACGCGCTTCTTGCAGATGTCAACTACAAGAGTAGTTGATAGAGGTCTAAAGAAAATTTTGAAATCCAGGTTTTGTGCAGTTGAGGTAAAAATTTAGAGAAATTAATTCAGAACCGAGCGCAACTTTTTGTGTGCAATAAATATACCCTTTTTTTCTATGGGTGGCACTGTAGCTCTCTGGTCATCTATCCCAATTTTTTCAAACCAGCAAGTTACAGATCAGCAGCTTTCTGTCATGTTGTCTGTAAAGTTAACTTAATTTTTACATTTTCAACTTCTTCTTCAGAACCACTGGGCCAATTTCAACCAAACTTACCTCAAAGCATTCTTGGGTGAAAGGAATTTAAGATTGTTTAGAGGAAGTGCCATGCCCCCTTTCAAGGGGAGATAACAAGGAACTCATGAAAATTTGAATTTTAAAAATTTTCTGCTCAATAACCACTTGACCAGAAATGATGAAATTTATGTGAAAGCTTCTATTAAAGTTTGTTCAAATCATGACTCCCATGGGTAGGATGGGATCATAAGAAGGGATCAGAGAATTACATAGGAATATGTAGAAATTAACCTCAAAAATCTTCCTCCAAAGCCATTATTAGTCATTTTTTATACAGAGCCATCCTCAGGTAGTGAAGATTCAAATTTGTTTAAATCATAACCTCCGGGACTAGCATCGGGCCACAACAGGGGATCAGGGTAATGCATTGGAATATATAGAAAATATTTTTTTAAAATCTTCTTCTCAAGAACAACAAAGCCATAATTTCATATTTTTTTAAGAAACTTTAAAGGTATTGTAGACACAAATTTGCTAAAATCATGCCTGGGGAGAGGGGGGTGGTTAAGGTGGGACCACAATAGGCAGTAAAAGTTTTATAATGGAATACATATGGAAAATGTCTTTAAAAATCTTCTTCTTAAGAAGAGGAAAATTTATATGAAGTCATATTTATTTGGAAGCATTCTCAGGTAGAGTAGATTGAAGGTTACATGTATTCAAATCATGACCCCCTATGGTAGGGTGGGGCTATAATATGTGATCAGTTTTACACAAGAATAAATAGGAAAAGAAAGAATCTGCTGACGGAGAACAGAAGGGCCATAGTTAATCAGGTGAGCATTATGGCCCATGGGCCTCTTGTTTGTTCAATATTTACATTAAGAATAGTTGTGTAGAAATCATCAAGGTTCACTTATTATGTGTCATATTTTTTAAGTTAAAAGTTAACAGTAAATATTGTTTGTTTATCAACAGATTCAGCAAATAATGCTAGAGAATTAGTTAATGCAAGACCTAATGATGGAAATGTACCAGGTTCCATGGCTAGGAGAATGTCAGAAAGCCTCATCATTAGTGTGTTACAGGTAAAAAATTTTTTTAGGAATTTAAGAAATAAATAACAGCTAGTGTTAAAAATTCACTAGGAAATGAATTTGGTTGGTTCACGATCACATCTCTTGGGAAGCCTGAAAGTCTCATTATTGAAAGTGTTACCATGCTGGTTTCCCAGGTGCCTATAACACTGATATCCTACATGTAGGTCCCAGTCAAGCATCTGCTTTGCTGAAGGTTCCAGGAGTGAAAAATGTTGGTTAGGAATAAAGTGGCATCAGGTATTGCTTCTGTCATAGAATCTTCTTTTTAAGAATTAATTAACCCCTTAGTCAGTATTGGGGTATATAATTTTTGCCCTGCTTATCGATCTTGTTTGTCTGCAAAAATTTAACCTTGCCCATAACTTTTTTAGTAGATGGAACTATGGCATTCATATTTCACAGGTCACTTGTGACAATACCTTTCTTTGGGTATCACTTAATTTGACCTCTTGACATTGGAATTTGACCCACTTACACAAAAAATTACCAAATTTTAACCTTTGCAATAACATTTGAACGGTTGTGCTAGGGCTTTCATCCTTCACTTGTATATTCATTGTGGTAAGACCTTTTAATGGGCATAAATATTTTTGACCTTTTGACCTTGACCTTAGAGTTTGACCCACTTTTTGAAAACTTTAACCTCGGCTATAATTTTCAACAGTTAGCACAAGGGCTTTCATATTTCACAGGTGTATTCCTTGTGACAACACCTTCCTTTGGATACCAACAGTTTGACCTTTTCACCTTGACCTTAGAGTTTGACATGTATTTGAGAAACTTCAACCCTCGCCCTACGGGGGGCATCAGTGTTTCACAAACACATCTTGTTTCACATAAATTGTAGCTTTAACAAAGACAAAGACACACTGTTGATAATTTTTTAAGATGACATTTTATTTACAAGTTATGCTGGGGGGTTCTGTTAAAATATTCTGTTTACATGAGGTCATGATGAACAAAAGAAGGTAGTACACAGTGTTTAGACTGGCAGAAGAAGTGATATGGTATCATTATTTTCTTATACATATACAGTAAAACAGGCTTTAGCTTATAATGAATTCAAGCTAATAGCAAAGTGATTTTTATTCTCTGTTTTTTTTTTAAACATATTACAACTCAATGTATACATGAATAATGATTTACCTTAAGTTTTTAACAAAGCAAAATTGTCTGTCCCTAGCACTTTGATATAGGCTTGTTTTTCTGACTAACTGTACAAGTATTTATTCCACCAGTTCAAATTTTAATATGAATTGTATACCTTTTATGCTTTTGATAACTGTGATTTAATGTAGAATTATGTCCACAGCATTTTTTAATCTTTGCAAAAACTATTAGAATTATTATTAGTCCCCCACCTGTGAAACCAGAGGTGACAATAGGTTTCACCGTGTCTGTGCGTCTCTCTGTACATCTCTCTGTCTGTCCATATGTATGTCTATCAGTCTGTCCCACTTGGTTTACCACACTTTTTTTCTAAACGCTTGCAGATATTGAGATGTTTTTTGGTATGCGAGTCTAACTTGATGAATTATAGATTAAGTTTGCATTATGATTTTTTGACAGAATTATGGCATTTTCAGTTTTAAATGGGAACCAGATTATACTTGCTGGTAGGGGACTAGCATTGCAATGGCAAAACTCTCAGAATGCTTGTTCTGGTTGAAATGTTTGTGTTTTTAGTCCCCTGCCAGTGAAACCAGAGGGGACTATAGGTTTCCTTTGAGTCTGTCTGTCCGTCTGTCTGTCTGTCCGTCTGTCTGTCTGTCAGTCTGTCCCACTTGGTTTTCTGCACTTTTTCCTAAACGCTTGCAGATATTGAGCTGATTTTTGGTATTGAGTGTATCTTGATGAGTAACAGATCAAGTTTGCATTTCGTTCTGCTTCATTGATTTTTGACGGAATTACGACCTCTTCAATTTCTAAGGGTTTTCCGCAATTTTCTTCTAAACGCTTGCAGATATTGAGCTGATTTTTGGTATGTGACTTTACCTTGATGAGTTATAGATCAAGTATGCATTTCGTTCCGCTTCATTGATTTTTGACGAAATTATGGCATTTTCAATTTTTAACGGGAACCAGATTACACTTGCCGGTAGGGGACTAGTAATGCAATACTCTCAGAATGCTTGTTACAATTAAGTTGCATTTTTTTCAGAGGCAGTAAAGGAAATCGATGGTGATGTTTCTTGTGTTGGTGATGAGAATCAGAGTGAGGAGGAAATGGATGACAGTCAAGACAATCATGATTTCCACACTTTAACTCCAGGTACTGTATACACACTACATTACTGCATTACCCATCTTTAAGCAATACCTTCCTTCTCTTGATATTATAAGCAGAAGCCCTGAATGCGCAGCATTGTTAAGGCTGCATAAAAGGGATGGGGCCTAATTTTTACGGAAAAGTTTACTATGACATCACACAAAAATAGTTATTCCTCATAATACCAGAAAATGAAATAATTTGCAATTTTGAACTATCTTAACATAATAAACAACATGAAAACCACCAATGCATTAGTTTTTGTTGCTAGTTAAATCCCACAGAGCAGTTTATTAACAAATTACTGATTGCAGTGAACTTGTCGACATGACATCAATTTTGGTAAAAATGATATATTTCATGTGCTGTGAGAGACAGAGCGAAGTTTTTTTTTACAGTGAAAAATGTATTTTATTATTAAACAGAATATTATTTACAGATTTCAGACAGGCAAGTGATACAAATGTAAAACCTTTGTTTAGTGCGATTATTCAATAATTATACAGAAAATGTATTTAATAAATTCTTCTGTGTTTTTATGTACAAGGTTCCGGACCCATGTTTAACATCGAGGTGCCTAATTAAATCGTTTTTTCGCAAGGGCATACACTTAATAGATCTGAACCGTTTTTTGAATGTAAATAAAGGATATTTTCCATAACTTGAAAAGTGCTGCTGCTTTCCCGAAATCAAGAGCATTATTTAATAAATGCATAAAACACTTTGTAAAGGTCACACATATTTCAACTGGAGCTACATAACATGAATTTTTCCATATAAAATGCAAATTCTAAAGCAGCAGAACTTTTCAGAAAGTACAAGGTATATAGAAATAATTTATAACTTAGATTTTTTAATGGAACTAGGATATGCCCTTGCGATATTGAAATTTGTGTATGACCTACATGTAGTACACATTATATGCAATTATCACGTGACTTCTTAATAAGGTTACCAAACTAGATTCAATATAGAGTGGGGTAGAGGCCTACAATATTATTTTTATTAATTTTTAAGTCATCTGGGAATATAATAGCTTTACAAAAATAAATCAGCATTAAAAAGTTATCTATTTGTACATGCCTATTTTCCATTGATTTCTTCATTGTATGCCTTAACAGTGCTGCGTGGTCTACATGCATGAAAAATGTGTAGTTCTCAATACTGGATATTGAGTATGAACAGAAGAGCTTCAGTATAAGTGACAAAAAGAGTGGTTATATATTCAAGGGTAGAGCAAGGTATATTCTGAAATAAGTTATTTGCGTTGGTGGAACTTTACCAATATGAGAGTCATCGCATTTCACACAGATGTCTTCTGAATGGAGATGGAAGAGTGAGATTAAATTCCAAATAGAACAAAATATTGATCTAAAACTGAATGTAAATTTAAGTAGCCAAGCATGCAAGTTCACAGATCATTCAAATAATGAATGTACCTATTTAATACATATATATTAGTGAACAATCATTCTCCTACCAAATTGTATTTCAGATGCTGAAAAGTTCTTCACTTTTCACAAAATACTTAGCCAGTCATGATAAGCCACTTTCAGAGCTATTTGCTTTATTTTTATACAGACAAAAGTATAAACAGAAGAAAAACTATATTCTGAAAATTTGATTTTAAGGAAAAGGAAGCCACTTTCTGATCACAGATCCACAACAGAAACGGAAGATTCTGCATGCAAGTGACAGAAGATACAAAAAATCCCATGGACATCATGTGAAATGATTTTAATCAAAAAACACTTCAGAAAAGATTAGAAAAATGTAATAAGAACTTAGATAAGTGTTAAAGACCAAGCATATAATCTAGTTTAAAAAAAACAACAGAGAAAATCTTGATTTACACACTAATTTCAATTGATATATTTTTGAGAAAAATGATAAACACTGGGTTTTGGAACCACAATTAGCAGTATTGGGGGTTAAATTGTTTGCAGCAGTTTTATCATTATGAAACCTGCATGGACCATGATACTTGCATGACTGAAGAGTGCAGAAGAAACTGCATGATGTGTGTAGCAAATGATTTTGAAGTACATGTATTAAATATTCTGTGCAGAAGGAAATTTTTTCCTTTTTTTTCATGAACATGTTTTCAAGTATTGCATGACCTTTCTGAAAGTGAAAAAAATGTGCATGTCCCAATTAAGTTTGATCAAGTCTCCAAATAAAGTTATATGCAGAAATTCTTTTTTTTTATTTATCCACTATGGTATTGTTTATGAAATCTACAGTGAAATGTACTTTTAAGTGAGTTGAATTGAATATAAAGAGTTGGGTTCACTTTATGCATAAGATAGCCCTGTCCTTATATCAGTTAATTGTCCATCACCCTCTGTCCCATTTCTAACAGATCCTTAATTATTAAATATCCTCTGCATGGATTAGAGATTGCACTCTATATGAAATATTTTTGAAAAATGCTAAAACTTTTGTCCGTTGTTGAAGCAATTTTCAGGATATGGGGAAAATCTTTCCTTTATATTGATGTTTGAAATAGGACCCTGGGACTTTGTCAGTTAATTGGTATGTATGAAGGGCCATTTTATGGATAAAGTGAACCCAACTCTTTACATCATTTTTAATAGATACAGTCACCAAAGGTCCAAAAGATAATTTAATGCACATGATACCAAAACTGAGTAGTTTTGATTTCTCACAATTCAAAGGACCATAAAAGCCCTAAGTTAACCTTGCTTTTTTTATAATGTTTATGTCTACAAACTTTTACCATATGTATCAGGTCCTTAGTTTCTAAAAATACCATTATCTTGTGTAAGTCCCCAGAGTTTTACCATCGTGTATAAGGTCCTCGGTTTCTAAAAATACCCTTATCTTGTGTAAGTCCCCAATTTTTTACCATGTGTATAAGGTCCTCAGTTTCTATACATACCCTTATCTTGTGTAAGTCCCCAAACTTTTACCATGTGTATCAGTTCCTCAGTTTCTATTAATACCCTTATCTTGTGTAAGTCCCCAAAGTTTTACGATTGTGTATAAGGTCCTCGGTGTCTATAAATACCATTATCTTGTGTAAGCCCCCAAACTTTTATCATGTGTATAAGGTCCTCAGTTTCTATAAATACCCTTATCTTGTGTAAGTCCCCAAACTTTTACCATGTGTATAAGGTCCTCAGTTTGTATACTTTCATTATGTGTAAGTCCCCAAACTATTACCATGTGTATAAAGTCCTCAGTTTCTATAAATACCCTTATCTTGTGTAAGACCCTAAACTTTTATCATGTGTATAAGGTCCTCAGTGTCTATAAATACCCCTATCTTGTGTAAATCCCTAAACTTTGCATGTGTATAAAGTCCTCAGTTTCTATAAATACCCTTGTCTTGTGTAAGCCCCCAAACTTTTACCATGTGTATAAGGTCCTCAGTTTCTATACATACCCTTATCTTGTGTAAGTCCCCAAACTTTTACCATGTGTATCAGTTCCTCCGTTTCTATTAATACCCTTATCTTGTGTAAGTCCCCAAAGTTTTACCATTGTGTACAAGGTCCTCAGTTTCTATAAATACCCTTATCTTGTGTAAGCCCCCAAACTTTTATCATGTGTATAAGGTCCTCAGTTTCTATACATACCCTTATCTTGTGTAAGTCCCCAAACTTTTACCATGTGTATCAGGTCATCAGTTTCTTTAAATACCCTTATCTTGTGTAAGTCCCCAATTTTTTACCATGTGTAGAAGGTCCTAAGTTTCTATACTTTCATTATGTGTAAGTCCCCAAACTTTTACCATGTGTATAAGGTCCTCAGTTTCTATAAATACCCTTATTTTGTGTAAGTCCCTAAACTTTTATCATGTGTATAAGGTCCTTAGTGTATATAAATACCCTTATCTTGTGTAAATCCCAAAACTTTTACCATGTGTATCAGTTCCTCAGTTTCTATTAATACCCTTATCTTGTGTAAGTCCCCAAAGTTTTACGATTGTGTATAAGGTCCTCGGTGTCTATAAATACCATTATCTTGTGTAAGCCCCCAAACTTTTATCATGTGTATAAGGTCCTCAGTTTCTATAAATACCCTTATCTTGTGTAAGTCCCCAAACTTTTACCATGTGTATAAGGTCCTCAGTTTGTATACTTTCTTTATGTGTAAGTCCCCAAACTATTACCATGTGTATAAAGTCCTCAGTTTCTATAAATACCCTTATCTTGTGTAAGTCCCTAAACTTTTATCATGTGTATAAGGTCCTCAGTGTCTATAAATACCCCTATCTTGTGTAAATCCCAAAACTTTGCATGTGTATAAAGTCCTCAGTTTCTATAAATACCCTTGTCTTGTGTAAGCCCCCAAACTTTTACCATGTGTATAAGGTCCTCAGTTTCTATACATACCCTTATCTTGTGTAAGTCCCCAAACTTTTACCATGTGTATCAGTTCCTCCGTTTCTATTAATACCCTTATCTTGTGTAAGTCCCCAAAGTTTTACCATTGTGTACAAGGTCCTCAGTTTCTATAAATACCCTTATCTTGTGTAAGCCCCCAAACTTTTATCATGTGTATAAGGTCCTCAGTTTCTATACATACCCTTATCTTGTGTAAGTCCCCAAACTTTTACCATGTGTATCAGGTCATCAGTTTCTTTAAATACCCTTATCTTGTGTAAGTCCCCAATTTTTTACCATGTGTATAAGGTCCTAAGTTTCTATACTTTCATTATGTGTAAGTCCCCAAACTTTTACCATGTGTATAAGGTCCTCAGTTTCTATAAATACCCTTATTTTGTGTAAGTCCCTAAACTTTTATCATGTGTATAAGGTCCTTAGTGTATATAAATACCCTTATCTTGTGTAAATCCCAAAACTTTGCATGTGTATAAAGTCCTCAGTTTCTATAAATACCCTTGTCTTGCGTAAGTCCCTGAACTTTTACAATGTGTGTAAGGTCCTTAGTTTCTATACTTTCATTATGTGTAAGTTCCCAAACTTTTATTATGTGTATAAAGTGATCAGTTTCTATACATTTATTATGCATAACTTTAACTATGTGTATAAAGTACTCAGTTTTATAAATACCTGTATCTTGTGTAATACCCAGTTTCTATAAATACCCTTATGTTATGTAAGTCCCTTAACTTTTATCATGTGTATAAGGTCCTCAATTTCTATAAATACCATTATCTTGTGTAAGTCCTCAGTTTCTATAAATACCCATATCTTGTGTAAGTCCCCAAACTTTTACCATGCTTATAAGGTCCTCAGTTTCTATAAATACCCTTGTCTTGTGTAAGCCCCCAAACTTTTACCTTATGTATAAGGTCCTCAGTTTCTATAAATACCCTTATCTTGTGTAAGTCCCCAAACTTTTACCATGTGTTTAAGGTCCTCAGTTTCTATAAATACCCTTATCTTGTGTAAATCCCCAAACTTTTACCATGTGTATAAGGTCCTCAGTTTCTTTAAATACCCTTTATCTTGTGTAAGTCCCCAAACTTTTACCATGTGTATAAGGTCCTCGGTTTCTATAAATACCCTTATCTTGTGTAAGTCCCCAAACTTTTACAATGTGTATAAGGTCCTTAGTTTCTTTAAATACCCTTTGTCTTGTGTAAGTCCCCAAACTTTTATCATGTGTATAAGGTCCTCAGTTTCTATAAATACCCTTATCTTGTGTAAGTCCCCAAACTTTTACCATGTGTTAAAGGTCCTCAGTTTCTATAAATACCCTTATCTTGTGTAAATCCCCAAACTTTTACCATGTGTATAAGGTCATCAGTTTCTTTAAATACCCTTTATCTTGTGTAAGTCCCCAAACTTTTACCATGTATATAAGGTCCTCAGTGTCTATAAATACCCTTATCTTGTGTAAGTCCCCAAACTTTTACAATGTGTATAAGGTCCTCAGTTTCTTTAAATACCCTTTGTCTTGTGTAAGTCCCCAAACTTTTACTATGTGTATAAGGTCATCAGTTTCTATAAATATCCTTTATCTTGTGTAAGTCCCCAAACGTTTACTATGTATATAAGGTCATCAGTTTCTATAAATACCCTTATCTTTACAATGTGTATAAGGTCCTCAGTTTCTTTAAATACCCTTTGTCTTGTGTAAGTCCCCAAACTTTTACTGTGTGTATAAGGTCCTCAGTTTCTATAAATACCCTTATCTTGTGTAAGTCCCCAAACTTTTACCATGTGTAAGAGGTCCTTAGTTTCTATATATACCTTATCTTGTGTAAGTCCCCAAACTTTTACCTTATGTATAAGGTCCTCAGTTTCTATAAATATCCTTTATCTTGTGTAAGTCCCCAAACGTTTACTATGTATATAAGGTCATCAGTTTCTATAAATACCCTTATCTTGTGTAAGTCCCCAAACTTTAACCGTGTGTATAAGGTCCTTAAGGTCCTCAGCCTGATACATCGAAAGAAGACGGTTGTTCATGATCAAAATACATTGTGATTTATTTTAAAAGAAATCACCAAGACTAATTGCCCATGTGTTTCTAAATTCAAACGCAAACAGGTCTGAAATGCCTTAAATATTTCTTGTTTTTCGCCTGACACTGTAGCTCTCTGGTCATCCATCCCAATTTTTTCTGACCAGCGAGCTACAGATCTGCAGCTAGTCTTATGCATGTATAAGCTGCAGATCTGTAGCTCGCTGGTCTGAAAAAATTGGGATGACCAGAGAGCTACAGCGCCACCCTAAGAAAAAAAAACTGTATATTTATTGCGCACTCATTTTTAGAAAAATACACTATTATACTATACGTCCTTTCTCTAAACGT